TGAAAAGTACAACAACGCAATTAGTAATCATTAAAACATCGTAACATTCACAATTTGGCAAAATTTTACCTTCTTACACAATCTATCGATAAAACTATCGAGAACAACCACAACACTATTTAAAATTTTATGAAAACTGGCAACCCTGCAAATGCCATTTTTTCCGTCTTCAAAAAACACTGCCTATAAGAGCGCGTATACACGCTAAGAAATTCGACGTGTCTGCTAAGAAAAGATGAGAATGGTCTTGTATACGACAAGAACTTTGTCGGATCTAGCCACGAAAACATGTCGTGTCTGTTGCAGACGAGAAAATTATGAGACACGATACGAATAATTTCGGACAGACGTGTTTAGGGTAAAATGTGTCAGTGCATTACAAGTCTTCCAGGAAGCAGTCGTTTTACTACCGACTGTGGGAAGAAATATGATGTTGTGTATGTTGACTACTAAGCAACACCCGTCCACGCGCATTTCGTTCGTTTAGTGACAATGCACCTCACCCCACTCCATACAATAGCAGCAGAGCGGTTCGTGTCGGTAGTGTACACAGTTCGTGTGTACAAACGACACGAATTCTTGCATAGACCCGGCGACTTTTCTTAGCTTGGACACGCGCCCTAAATGCGGACAATTTACATTGAGAATTTCAAATTATTTTCAAATGATTCGAAGCTTGCCAAGTTTACAAAATGGCGCTATCGCAGGAGTTCTAGCATCGTCGTACATATATTATGTTTCCAGAAGAGATGCTGTTCAAATTCAATGACAAAGGACTTATCTGAGACCGGCATAATCCGTAAACAACTTTCCATCCACTGGTAGTTAAATGTGATCATGGTTTTGCAGGCATGCACCCTTCGAAAGGACAACACATCTGCTAGACACACTTGTACCAAACATTTACGTACCTGAACCTTCGGTTATGGAAGAGGTAATAAGTAACATTTAGGGTGAGGCCAGACGACGTAATTCTGTGAGTTGTGAGTCGCGTTGTTTGAGTTGCGTAGTTTACGTTGGACTGAAATTCAGTTGGGGCGCCAGACGAACTTATGTTATATATTACTATATTATTTATATATATTCAGTTGCATCCAATACCAAAGTGACTACTTACATCACCCCTTCCTCCACCTGCAACTCATTTTGCGTCGTCATGTGGCACAAACCGGACTTTTATATAAAACCGAATGCTATATAAATACTTTAATTTACGCAACTCAAATAAGGCGACGCGCAACTCACAAAATTACGCTCGTCTGGCCTAATCCTTATTTACCGTGTCGAATTTATTATTTGTTAGACTGACCGTGAAGAGACCAATAGAATTTCGTTTTTTTTTTGACGTCGTCAGTTTGATTACAATAAAAAAAAGAAAAAATAAAAGTTAAGCGAAATATTCAATTACTGTCAAATAGTTAAATACTCGACCAAGTTAAAACGCAATGTCGAGTATGAAGCTTCATTCGCATCATGCATCTTTTAATGTGATCGAGTATTACTTATTTCACAGTAATTATTTACGGATGAATGTCGGATGGAGAACGAGAGTACAGGGCCTGGCGTACCAATAGGTACTAAATACCCTACTACGCGTTCTTGTACCTCGATTAGCAGCCCTCTAAGTTATTGCTCCTTCGATAATATAAAGTAGCTTATGTTTTATTTAATTTTTAATTCGGGACTTAATCACGTATAAAACATATTTTAATTACCTCGACGTCTCGGACGTATTGCAACGTCCATGGTCTCGAAGGGACTGAAGAGGCGGGAGGCAGCATTTTCATTTTTCTAGCCGTGCTAGTTTTTCTAACTATCCGCACTTGTACTTCATTATTTATTTGTGCACTAAAGTCGTGAGTGTTGTGTGTCGGTCTAGTGAGAACCCTAGTGCACAAATAAATAATGAAGATCAAGTGCGGGTAGTTAGATAAACTCGGACGGCTAGAAGATGCTGACACCCGCCACTTCAGGCCCTGCGAGACCATGGACGTTGCAATGCGTCCGAAATGTCGAGGTGATTAAAATATGTTTTATACGTGATTAAGTTCCGAATTAAAAATCAAATAAAGTGTGAAAATCGTGAAAGTTTAAATGAAATGCTTATGTTGTGTTCTATTGTTAAAGTTATATGTAACAATTGTAGATAATCAAGACGCTGGAGGTGGGCGGCGCCGGCGACCGCCTGGCGCAGGCGTGGTCGCAGCTCGTCGTGTTCGGGCACGCCAAGCGCGCCAAGCTCGTGGAGAAGATCCTGGCCGCCATGGTCAGCTGCTACCAGTACCAAGGTCACCACCACTTTTTTTATAATACTAAGTGACGGGACGAATTAGTCGTAAGCGACACGCCTGTCCATAACAGTTGCAGTGCCGTTCAGAGCTTTAAATCGCAAAGATCTGAGGGGCACTGCCACTGCGCCCGTCGCCCTGAGACATAAGTTGACAAGTCCCCTGTGCCTGTAATTTCACCAGCACCTTTACCCTTTCAAACCGGAACGCAGTAATACTGCTTGACGGCAGAAGTAGGTAAGGTGGCAGTACTTCCCTGGACAAACTCCTTCACAACCGGCTCTACTGCTACGGAATTGCCTTACAACTTGCTTACTCTTCAAATTTTAAAGAAAAAAAAAACACTTAATAATTCAGATAAATTATTTAATGTATGTAATTCATATATTGACATCCTAGTTTAATTATAATTTAAATACTATGAGAAAATAATAGACTACGAATGTAATAATCTAGTTCAATGTGGATCACAATTTATATTAGTTTACGATTATGCTTGCCCGCTATTACTGGTATATATATATATTTCTTTTTTATAATTCTTACCATATACACTAAATTGTTGGATATCAAAAATATTTTGCCCTTTTTGTTTAGATGACGAAGTGAAAACAAAAATGCGCACAGCAGCGATGGATATTCTAAAATTCGGGCAGATTGTTGAAGAACAACAAGACGCTAGAGATGTTCGCGCACCTATGCAACTAAGGTCTGTATGGAGAGCTCTATGCACGACTTTAATTCAATCTTTAGCATAATTTTAAGGTCTATACCTTATAGACAATCTGTATTTATGTTATACCTGAAGGGTAATCGGAAAGGACTTTCGAAAATGGCTTTTGTACGTGAAATGGCTGACAAGTTGACGAGAATTTTAAAGGGGTCCTCAAACAGGAAGCAGTCACGCGTTAAAGCGTTTATCGCACATCCGACATCCGCCCGAAACAATTACTGTCAAACAACTAATACTCATACTTGACATTAGTCTGTTGATTTGGTCGATTATTTTTATTTATTTATTTCAACTTTATTGTATACTGAAATACAAATGGCGGACTTAATGCCATAAGCCATTCTCTACCAGTCAACCATGGGGCCAAACAGAAAAAAAAACAATAGGTTGGTGCTACACTTAAACAAGAAGAAAGCTAAAAAGCTAATCGATAATTTGTATGGTATAAATAAATAACCTAATAGAAACATACTTATTATATATACATAATAAGCTTACATATATCGCTCTGTTAATACAATAGTGTATTAACTCAAAACATGTATTTTTTTAGAATTGATGAAAAACGAATTACTCACTTCTCGTGAAAGATTATTGAAATGTATGTATAAGTTAAAGTTTATTACAGACATCTAAATATTTCCTACTTGCCAAATACAAATTATTTATTTATAAATAAAAAGGAAAAAATAATTTAATATTTTTGAGTACGGACTGTTTTGTCCAGAAGTATGTCACGAAAAGTTTGTCTCATTTTGAGTTAAGTAGATATTATATTTTAATTGTTTCTTACAATATTCGAACGACGGTTTTATTGAGTGTAGAGAATCAAATTTTACGTTCAGCAGTAATATAATCTTGAATTTCACATATTTTGAGTTACAACACTATTGTAATAGCAGTGCGATATATTATAATTATAAATAATATAATTTTTGTGCCCAAAGCAACATTATACAGAGTTTTAGTTTTCACAGTTGTCAAACAGATGCGTACGCAACATGCGCTTGAAAGATAATTTGGTCTGAGCTTGTCTTACATGGAGCGGGAGCGCGTTCCAAAGACAGATTGCATAAAGAGTAAAAGAATTAGACAAAAAATCAGTGCGGTGAGAAGGAATAGCTTAAGGCTACGGGAAGATCGAAATTCGCATCCCGGCCGAGCGGTTTGAAATTAAAATGAACACTTAAGATAAATGAGTATTACATATCTGTCGGTAATTATTTCGTTCGAAGAACGGTGGTAGACCCGCTTGTTGCTGAATCCCAGCATATTGACCGACTGCAGTCGAAGCACCTTCTGTATGCGTCAATACTTGAAACGCTAATTACAAAGAAACATTTATACACTACAAAGAAACAAATAACGAAATTGCAATTTTTATTTTATCGAATATCCTGATATTTTTACTACGATGATATTCAAATATTCCGAAAATACACTAGTCTTACAACAACAATTCACTTCCATGAGAAATTTCACATCCATATTTGCCAAAATTCGGTCTTTATAGCGTACCCATCACAAACACTGAGCTTATTTTGTAATGTAACTAACTTATAAATTACGAAGACATAAATTACTACCAAAAACAAATTAAATTAAATTCACTAAGACTACAATTTTGTATACTATCACATAAGAAGGTAGTGTGAATTTTTTAAATTCTACGTAGGGTAGAAGTTTATTCTGTTTCCAAACTTAACAGATATAGGACTGAGTGCATCTGGAAGCGACATTAATGATTTTTTTAGATATATCGGCGTTATTGAAATATATTAATATACTGTTAAGTATTATAATTGATACAAAGATCGACCAAACACACACAAAAATTCCAATGGGTTCAGGAACCAGTGTCTGTTGCCTCAACGTGGCTAACGGATAACGATAATTACCTCTTATTTGCGTAATCCCTAAATTTCTGAAAATTTGCTCAGTCAGCACAATTTATTCCAATCAATTGTTGGGAATTACGTGTTTTCTATCTAACCAGGATATCAGCAGCAGGGCTAACAAATATCATAGAGCTGTGCTCCGATGCACAAGACAAGGCGGACCAAGCGTGGGACAGCGTCGCTGAAGCACTGCAGCGGCTTCGGCGCGACGAAGCAGTCGGCGTGCCGCACAACCCACAAGTACTTGCCAACGTGGCCAACAAGTCAGCTGCAATTGGCAAACAGGATATTGCTACCGTAAGTAATATACTGTACTATACTGTTATGGACAGGCGTGTAGTTTACCATGAGGCGCATGGATTGTTCGTCCCGTTAGTTGATGTTATAAAAAAAATACTTAATAAGTATTATAGTAAGGCACATGGGACTTGTTAATTTTATGTCTCAGAGTGACGGGCGCAATGGTAGCGCCCCTCAGATCTTGGCAATTTAGAGCTCTGAGTGGCACTGTAACTGTTTTGGACAGACGTGTAGATTACCATCTGGCGCACGACTTGTTCGTCCCGTCACTTGATATTACAAAAAAAAACAATGAAGATTAAGTTTTAAAAAGGTTAGGGAAGAAATAAATAATTATTTCGATAGTAAAAGTACATGATATAATGTGTATAGTATAGTAAGATGAATCTATGTGTACTGTAATGAGGCGTAACTCAGATTGCGTAGCGAGAGGTACTTTTATGAATATAAACCAGGATCATCTTAAGAACTCTGGTTTATTTCACCATTTTACATATTTTCACTTTCAGGTTACAAATCAATAATGTTAATATGTCAAGATCTTCTGTTTTCTTATTTCAATCCTTAACATTCTAAATATAAAACTATAATCACTATCTATATTCAGCCAGCAATTCTACTCATAGAGTAGAGCCTAGTCTACAGTACCTATTAGTATTAATATTAGTATAGTGAAGTAGGTTAATTGCGGTGCCCTTACAGGGTTTATGTTGGAATGTAATAATGGCTTTAAGACCTTTTGTAGCACATAAAGCAATAAATGATATCATATGATATGCTGTTAACTAATGCTTAAAACCTAATTAAAACTTGTACAAAACAATCACAAAAACCTTTTCAACGAGATTTATTTCTCTAGTATAATTTATAACGCCTTACAAATTCAAGTATTTCATGCTTAGATGGCTGTGGCGTACCTAGCAGAGTGCGGCTTCGAGGAAGCAGCGACAGCTAGCGTGCAAACGCTTGGCGTTATGCTTAACAGAAGCGAGGAAGAAGTACATGCGTTGCTGCAGCAGCCAAGGTCAGAGCTGGAGACGTCACTTCATCCTGCGGCCCTTGCTATCGTAGAAGCTTATCAAGTGTAAGTACAAAAATATTCTGCGTTATTTTTCTTCCCGTGCTGCTTTATCTATGATTTTTTCTATATCTATGAGTCTTATAACAAGATTCTCGTCCGGTTGACTGAAATGGGTTAATTGAAACGTAATATAACACTCATCATCATACGTCCATCATACGACATTATACGTCCCGATACTGGGCACGGGTCTCCTCTAGGGAGACGATTTAATTTAATTTTTTATTTGTGATTTTGTTTTGTAATTATTTATTTGTGTTTTTCGTTGGAAAGTTTTTTTTTTTCTGTTTTGTTTGCTTTTTCCTTTTGTGTCATTTGTGGTAAACAAATAAAAGCATTTTATTTTTTCTTTCAAAAGATATTAGTTGAAGATACGAAAAAGGTGTGCCTCCTGCCACAATTACAGAACGTAGCCAATTAAGGTCCGTAATCTCTACCTACCCCGCTGGAGGACATGCGTGTTGCTGTCTATGTACATTTAACCGTGTTTTTCAGATAACATAATCTACCGTAATCTACGCTATAATGTGACGTGCTTTTTATCAGTACATTATGTCAATGCGCCACTGGAAATGTACTTTTACGAAAACATTCCTTGACTTAGTTTTCTTTAATGACATGATAATTATGAATATTACAAAATAATTATTTATATAACGTAAAAACTGTAACGAGAAGAAAATCTGTATCATTACTATGATTAAGATGTTGATTGTGCCTGCGGCCAGTTGGATGTGATAGACGTACATATATGAGGAAATATTTTTTTTACAAAGAGGTACTTAATGTTTCTAACCCGTGGGCCATGAGCCGCGACGCTCCTAGCGAGTTCGCTTATTGCTACAAACTTCAGTATCGAAGGTCAATTACAAATATATGATTTTATAGTCCCACATGACTAGAGTAATGGAAAGCTAATTGGTACGAATATTACGCGCGTCTTTTGCGGGCGACCAGAACAATTATACGAGAAAGTTCCACAGACGAAACTATCGCTCCGCGTGTCCATACATGAGAGTATTATACTTGCGCGCGTTTGAAACAAATTATTTTGTTTTTATTTGTTGTTTGGTTACTACTGAAAGCAAATAGTTTAGTAGCAGTAGAGCTCCTTGTGAAAGAGTTAAAAAAAAGAGGTTTTTTTTGTCAGTCGTTGTTTAAGTGCGATAGAGTGCGGTCGCGTCAAGTTCAAAATAAATATATAGAGTTGTTAACATCCCCAAATTTAAAGAATTTAAAGTTGTACTATGGCATCTTTAGGAAAAAGAGGAAAACCTTTACGAGGTCAGTCACGCCAAATTATCTACAATGTTTATAAATATTTTGTAACCGAAGCTGACAGATTTAAAAAAAATTAAGATGAAAATGTAAGTTGTTATTTTAAGAAGGTTCAAGCGCGAGTTGCAAATGCCACTGGAATTTCAAGAAGAACTTTGAACAATATATTAAACGAAGTCAGTACTGAAACACATTCTACTGAAATTAAGTTTAGCACTCCAAAAAAAGGGAGACCAAAAAAGCAATTTCGTTTGGATATGGACGATTTTGATTATGATGTTGTTCGAAGAATGGTGTATGATTTTCACTTACGATTTAATGAACTGCCAACAATAAAATCATTAAAAGCTAAATTATCTGAAACTATTAATTACAATGGGTCTGAAAAGACGTTGAGAAAAATACTTCACGAGATGGGATTTCGGTTCACTAAAATGGAAGATAATCGAAGTTTTAATGGAAAAGCACGATGTAAGTCTCAAACGAATGGAATACCTCGATAAAATACGCAAATTTCGCGAAACAGGAAAAAATATCGTCTACATGGATGAGTCTTACATACATACATCCCACACTTAAGGGAAATCTTGGAGTGATGATAAGAAAAAAGGAGTAAAAAAGCCAATTTCAAAAGGTCAACGTTTGATAATAGTTCATGCGGGAAATGAAAAAGGCTTTGTACCCGGTGCCTTTTTAACGTATAAATCCACGGATACTACAGGTGACTATCACAATGAAATGAATAACGATAACTACGAGAAATGGCTGGTTAATCAATTAATCCCAAATATACCCAGTGATTCCGTTCTAGTTATCGACAACGCACCCTATCACAATAAATATGTTGAAAGATCCCCCAAGTCAAACACCATTAAACAGGAAATGATCAAATGGTTAAACAGATACGAAATTCCAGTTGATCCAAAATTAACAAAAACCCAGATTTACGCTATTATATGTCAGCACAAGGAGAGGTATACAGAGTTTTCCGTGGACAAAGTACTTGCAGAACATGGGCACACTGTGTTGCGATTGCCACCGTATCATCCGGATTTTAATCCAATTGAAAATATATGGTCTCAACTAAAAGGCTATGTAGCCTCTAGAAACGTGGGTATGATTTTAACTACAGTAAAAACGTTATTGACTGAAAAAGTAAACATGATCAGGGCTGAAGAGTGGAAAAAGGTTTGCGATCACACAATCAAATGTGAGAATGAATATAGAAGCATTCAACACGGTTTAGACAGTTACACTGATAGACTAGTGATAAATACGGCTGATAGTGACAGTGATATTTACCTCTTTGAGAGCACAGATAGTGAAATGGTAGTAATTGAGAATTAGAATTATTATTATTTTTATTACAATGTCTCACTTTAACAATAGGTACAATGGTGTTTATTATGTACACTACAGCTGTAATTTTCCAAAGTAATTAAATACGTAAACATAATGTGAACATATTTTTTTTATTTTATTTTACCCGAACCTAAAGCCATCACTTATAGAAAAATTGGTGTATTTTATACAAAGAATAAAAAGAATTATTAAAAGAAGCAAATTAAAATTGTTTTAACAGCTCCTAATAGATACCGGACTGTTTGTATTTCGTGCGACAGAGATAACGCTCTACGAAGTCGAAATTAGCCGATTGTCTCTTTCCAAATGTCTATGTGCAATATTTATCGCCGGGTACTGTATACAGTACAGGCGATATTCGTGTTTCATCGGATTCCAATTGGACTTAGTGCACAAGTGAGATCCAAAGTAGGTCCGAGTTTTTTAGATTTGTACGGTCTCGGATTCGGAAGAAATACGAATCGGATGCGGTGCGTAACCGCGTTAAAGATTCAAATTCAACTACATGCCGCTTGCGATAAGAACTGACTAAAGTCCATAGTATTAAGCTTGATGTGCACTCGACTGTAACTTTATAAATAAGAAAAAGTTGAATGAAAAAATGTCACCCTGTGTACGGTATGGGCAAAATAATCTTAAAAATAATATTTTCACAGGACCAAAACCGGCGCACCTGTACGGGATGCGGACTCAACAACAAGTTCCAGTGACAGTGAGTCTTCATCCGATGACGAGTAGATGTAGTGTCATAGTTTACGAATTTAGCATTTAATTATTAATAAAATAGAAACCATTTGTGTATTTAATTGTAGAGATATTTTTTATTTATTCCAAAGTTAGTTATGCATTAAATCTCACAGACACTCAAGTAAATTTTTGAATAGAAACTCGATATTTATGTATTAATAAATTTTTTATTAAGAACTTGTTTTTTTTTATCTACGCTTTTTTCACTTATTAATGGGCAACCTCATTAATAAGTGAAAAAAACTCATTTTGGACTTGACATCATATTTTACTCAATATTATAACAAGTCTAAAATATGTTCTTTACACAATAAATCACACATGAAACCAAATACTGCCCTAACTCAAAATTGCGGTATTGAGAAAAAACAATTTGAAAATTTAAAAGAATTTGATGGATTTTATTGCGAACAATATTTATTTTCATTTATACATAATGCTTAATTATCCATTTATGATCGAAAATATACAGGGTTATTTGTAAAATAAAACAATATCGCACGACTATATTCCTGTATAACATAAACAACAACTTTTGTTCCGTGACTTAATCATTTATCACATTTCACTTTCGTACAAAAATTAAAATATTTAAATTAATCGTTACAAACGGTGATAATGATAACGCACGCAGGGGTGGGGGTCGTCCGGAAGTACACTTGTACGTTTAAACTTACTACCAAATATAGATCTAAAAAGTGTCACATAGTATAATTTTTTTTTTAATTATCCCTTCCTCTCCTTTCCATCAGCGGACCACCCGTGCCGGACTGCGTTGCCACAGTTGGACGGTCAGTTCAATACCGTCCCGCACTAAAAAGTTTGGCAATTCGTTCTTATGCCGAACCATCAAATTGTGGAACCAACTCCCGGCGCATGTATTCCCTCCCCTCTATAACATCGGGTCCTTCAAACGTAGTGTGAAGAAGCATTTGGCCAGACCGGCAAAATGATAGTGACGGAGTGAAGATATTTGTGTTTTCCATCCGTTACTCTCATCTCTGGACTGTATTCGCACTTTCCATCAGGCGCGGTGCAGTCATTTTGCCGAGTCACAATAAAAAAAAAAAAAAAAAAAAACAAAAACAAAAGTTTATTTTTGAACTATTTATCATGTTTTGTAAAAAGTAATGAAACAAATCAACCGTGACCATGGGATCTGAAAAGGGCCCGAAACGTTGGTTTGTTTGGTAATTCACATATACGCGATTTAAATCCGGAAAAATAGTTTCATTTTCTATATTTAACAATCGCGAAAACCTAAGAACTTGAAAAGTTATGGTTTATGATGCTAGTAATAATAGTTCTGCAAGGTTGTTAGTATTTTACAAAGAACCCTGTGGTTTCATTCAGTTTCTTTTTTATTTTTAATCGTGTTTTCTCAATTTCACAATTTGGAGTTACGACAGTATTAGGTTACGCGTGCGAAATACTGTTTATTTCAACAAAATTTACTTCACCTACTTTTTTGGTGACCTATAGAAACCAGTTTTTGGAGAATAGTACATACAGTATCCGTGAGATATTGTACTTGTGACATGGACTCGTTTCTCCGGCGAACACAAAAGGTGTTAAAAATGATAATTGACTGGCTCTAGCTGAAGACATTGGAGGAAAGCTGCGCGTCCGTTAGTCGCGTTTTGTCTGTCATAACGGCAGCCTTAACATTGCGTGCTTTCAATTTCAACATGCCCTGTCTCATATTGTATATTCTGCTGGTGAGTATTATCCCTAAATATCTTCATAACGGCAGTTGAAAGTGATGCTACTTTACATGTTCGTGTTTAATATTGTATTCCGTCGTCCTACTTTCACCATATTATGTCCATATTTCATCAATGTTAACATTCCTGTAGACAATACTTGCTGCACTTTTATTTCTATTTAATTTTTATTTTATTTCTATCTCAATGGTATAGAAAGTGACTAATTTGTGACGATGTGACGTCGTCCTTGCATTGTCATCCCACCTTTTTATCGCCTTTTCTCCGGTTCCAGGCCACTCGTTTTTAATTCCTTCGCCTCGCACTTCTAATTTTGTTTCCACCCTCACTCCCTGCTCGATCGCGGCAGCGTACAGTGCTGTTAAAACTTCAATTGCGTCTAATTTTGATTTCTTTACCAGTTTTAATACCGGTTTGTAATAGCTACTACTAATCATGTGCCAATTTTAATAACAATTTGTAATAACTACTGCTAATCATGTGCTAATTTTAATACCAATCTGTAATACAGCATAACTCGGCCCTTTTGGGGTAAATGTCTGGACCGTTTGTTAATCCGTAGTAAGGAGTGTTTTATACTGCTGTATCTGTGTTTACATACCTTTTCTTGTTTTGTTACCATCAACTTACAATATATTTCTGTGGCTCATTAGGGTTTACAACCTTTTCAAATTTTATATTTCTTGTCCTTAGGGTACAATATTGTGCAGCTATCGGGTGACTGCATATTTTAACAAAAAAATCGATTGTGGACCTTACGGATTTGTGTGTGAACGGAACAACAAACTGCGTCTCTGCGAAGGCGAAAACTTGCGAGGTCCTACGTTCTTGTGCCCTCCGAGAACTATCTGCAATGAGGAATCGAGTGACGTCTGCGAGAGCGTCATCAACTACGTGGAACCTCCAATAAGAACCATCAGATGTCACCGCTACGAAAGAATAGCTGATCCCAATGTACCCGACTGCAAGGGCTATATACTATGCATTCCTAATAAAAACCGTTTCCAAGGAATCAAGTTTAAGTGCACGGGCAACACAATTTTCAATGGCTATACGCGAACATGCTCGGCATCCAATTCCTACAGATGTCCGTTATCAAACGCCACCAAACCGTTTGTGGACTTCATTGAAGAAGGCACTCGAAGAAAACCTGTTGGCGGCGACTTCGCATACTCCGATTTAAGCCCCAGTTTAGAAAAGAACCGACCCATTGACTGTAAGCACTATAAGCTAACTGTGACGCAAGACAGCAGTCCCATTCGAGCGGCATACTTCTGTCCCCCGCGACCTGCCAGAAAAGAAATAGCCACTAGATGTACAGTATTCTCTAATCAATTTTGCCTCATATTGGAAAGAGTGGATGAAGACCAATTCATACAAAACTCTGGCGCAGCTTCAAGACGACCAAGGATCAAAACTGGGTTTGATGAATAGTTCGACTTTATTGCCAGTGAAAAATATCTAAGACTGATTTTTAGAATTGTTTTAAATATAATACTTGAATTAACCTCCAAAGTTTATATATATTTATCGAAAAAAACTATTAATTCTATTCTTGTAACAATAGTGAACCAGTACCTAAATAATTAAAATGACAACATCATCATTTGTTGTACGAATCACATCAACATGTATTTATTTACATTTATACAATCATTAGCCGTATTCTAGTTAATTTATTGAATTACTTTAAGAACATTCGAAACTGTCGGCATCGACACATTTCTTTTTGTCTTTATGGAACACTTCATCGCTATTACACTTCTTTCTTCTTTGACGATATTCCTCAGATCGGTTGCTTTTCGAACAAACGTAATATTTTCTACAACTTTTTGGTTCAGGAAATTTACCTTCTTCTTCACATTCGAAATCCTCGTCTCCTTTTCTTCTTTCAGAACTTGACTTATCCTTTACCGTCTTCAAACCATTGTCCTTAGCATTTTCATTTGTGGAATGATTATTGTCGTATATTTTAGAGTAGTCTCTATTATTTGAACTGGAGCTTTTTTCTACTGCTGCTTCAGACTCGTTACTTATAGAATTGTTCGAAGGTTCTGTTTCATCTTCCACGCATCTTACAGTCAATTTATTAAGCCTGTAACCATTTTGACATTGAAATTTAAATCTGACAAATTCTTCTCGATGATTTTTTACACAAATGTAATAAACGTTCTGTTCCATAACGTCGCTGAATCTTCCATTCGTTACACATTTAAATTGATTTTGTCTAATGCAGTGAGACAAGTTTTTGGTACACTGTTTCTTGACTTCACTGAATACGGTATTAACTGGGCACAATCCTTCAATAGGTAGTCTCAAACCAATACAGACGTAGAATTTCCTGCAATCTTTGTTATCGGAATATCTTCCTCGCCTACGATTTTCACAATCAAAATTTAAATTTTTTTCAACATTGGTGCGTTCAACATCAACCTTAACTGTATTCAGTATACTTAACTGCCCTGTTGTAACTACTGGGTGAGTACTTCCTATTGTGCTACCTGTTGTTTGTGCCCGTCTCACAGCTGCTTCGGTGGCAGTTGTTATGTGAGGTTTTGTTGCAGTCTGTATATTAGATGCAGAAGTTTTTGTAAGAGGATAACTGGAATTCTGAACAAATGAAAGCTCAATGTTCACATTATGGTTCTTGTTTACTTTTTCCCTGTCGATTATAACAACTGGGATATTCGTTATATCATTGTTTGATAAATTAGAATCGTCATTCAACGGCGAAGTTTTTTCTACTACTCTGTTCGGTAAGGATTTGGTATTGCCATCTGTAGAAGGTTGAGCGTTGACATTCGTTTTAGACACTGACGTATGAAATTCCACACTAGAATTCGTAAATGTGGTTTCTGTAACGTTAAGTTTAACGTCTGTAGTCGATATCGACAAAATCGATATACTTTGCATAGAAAGGCTAATATTGCTAAAATTATTTTTAACAGACTCTGGAGGTGGGTGCCACTTTGAATCCTTAACAGCATTTTTTACTTCTTTTACCACGTTATCTGTATTCTGAGTGTTTTCAGATATTGAAACTAGCACTTTCAAAATTCCTGAGTTTGGTAAAGTTTCAGCAATAGTTGATTTTTTATCGTGCTGATTAATTACGCCTGAGTTTATATTAGGCAATTGTGGAACAATTTTTACTCTATCAGGTAACACAGACACGTTACTATTATTTACATTAAGAGGCATTATATTATTGTCAGCGTTTGACGAAGTAACAGATAACGAACCGGTTGATTGAATCATAGAACTTGAGTATTCTGTAGAAGTTGAGATGCCTGCAGACGGAGTTGTCACATTTGCTGCTGACATGGTTCTGTTATCACTTACACTTTCTTCTTTCATATTCAAAACTACGTTTTCTAATGGATTCGCAATGTTGCTAATATGACTGCCATTGCTAGGTGATGCCGTAGACTTATTGGCTACATTTGCTGAAATATCGACTTGATTTTCATTTTGGGTTAAAGGAATGATTTCAAGTGCATCATTATTTGTAGATCTTTGCACACCAGAAATGTTTTCTTGAACTGTTGGTCTTTGCCAAGTAACTGTTTTTGGTGTCAAAACGTTTTGATTTATATTATTACTTGATCCTACAGATGTTTTAGCATCTGGGTTATTTATAGCACCTGGTGACACTTTCGTGGAAGAGGTTGGTTGTGGTAGATTTTTATTTGTTTGCGATGTGTAAAATTCGTCATTAACAGATTGTGGCCCAATTGACTGAATCGTAAACGAAATTGATTTTCCTGCGTCTGCCGGCCGATCAGTTGTGGCAACTGGCTCAGACGTGATTAGGTAATGATTTGCACTCGCTTCATGTGTATTAAAAGGTACATTTTGCAATATATTTGTGGGATTGTTAAATTCTCTACCATTATGGGGTGATGACGTCGAATTCATAACGGTTAAGATGGTGTTTTTATTTTCATGTTCGACTGCTGGAATTGTTTCAGGAGCGATTGTATTAATGGATCTTAGAATATCAGAGCTTATATTTTCTAGGACTATCGCTGTCTCCCAAGTGGCAATATTTGTTGACAAGGAATCATTGTTAGTATTTGATCCCGCTGACACCATTGCAGGTGAAGATGTGGCAGAAATTATAGCATCTTGATTAGAAACTGCGTTAATTGCAGGTGACAATGATGTACTTGCTACTATACCACCAATTGTCGTAGGCTTTTCACGCAGATCCGTCGTAAGCAAGTTATTTGTAACGTCTTGCACAGGTATATTTGTCTTCTTAACTTCAAGGATTTCCGGAGTTCCTGTTTGGGGTTTTTCAGATTTCAACGTTCCTTGCACCGAAGGAGTAACAGTGTCCACATACCTCGTTGTTTGTGTTGAAGTTTCTGTTTCAGGTTGATTGGCTACACCATGTTCGGAATTAACATTATTTTGCGAATTCAACGGCTGTAAATTAGAATTTCTTACATATTCAGTTGTGGTGCCTGTTTCCGTAAGTAATTCATCGGTTTGCGATCTCGTGATGGAAGTAGTTACTGTGGTCCCAGTTTCAAAGTTAATCTTAGTTCCTTTTGTTAATGTCGTGTTCAAAAGGTCAGTTTGTGTTTTAGTTGCATCATTAGTATTTAATTTATTTATTTGAAGACTTGCCGAAAGTGTTGATTTATCAACGTTGGCAACTGTTGTTACCTTATCGTTATTTGGTGATTTGTTGTTTATTGGTAAATCATTACCTGATAGAGGTGAGCTTGAAATAACGTTTCCTTCGGTCGATGGTGCTATAGAAGGAAAATTAATATCCGTATTTATTGAATGAGGATTTTTAAGTTCGCTTTCAGTATTAACATTCACCGAAATTTCTAGACTCCTCATAGTTGTTGGAACATTGAATACCTGAGTATTTATATTAAGATTATTGCCTTTTACTGTAGGAATCGTCTGCACCTCTGGTACATCAGTATCATACAATGCTTTGTTATTTTGAGTGGTTGATTCTAAAGTTTCTGTCGATATTATTGCATCAGGAGCTACTGAAGTTCCTTTCGGCGTTATAGTGATTGACATCGTGCTGGTCCTTTCAGTGAAGTTTGTATTACTAAAAAGAGTCTCTACTGCATCAGTACTTTCGTTAGCAATTTCGATACCTGTTGCGTTTATATTACTTTCTAATATTGACGCCGTTGTTAAAATTGTAGACTCTTTCACAGTAGGTAAATTGTAGCTGCTCGTATTAGGTGTTTGTACTTTACTTGCTGATTGAGGTGTTGCTATAATATGGGTAGTTACGTGATCCAATAAAGATGATTCCGTTGAAAGGTGATTAGGACTTGGTGATATATCAGCTTGGTTTACTATAACGTTGCCAAAATCATTTGCATTATCCTCTGTTTTCAGTATTTCATTTTGACTTGTAGTAATATACACAGCGTTTAAGTTGGGCGTTATACTCGTGTCTTCTTTGTCAATCATATTACCGGAGCGCATTTTCAGTTGAGCTTCAGTGCCTGGTGCATCAGTGATTAAATACTCTGTGACAGAAACTGTAGGTGGTAAATCTCCTTCTTCCATGATTGAAGTAATGTTATCAATAGCAGCATTTCTCGTGTCATTTGTTGTTGGTGACACATTTGTTTTATTTAATGATATCACTTTAGGTATATTGTGACTAATTCCTGCCATATCTGATGTCAATTGTGTAGGCAAGACATATGACGTCGACGTTTCGAAATTTAACTGGCGATCATTCATGTTCAGCTTTGTGTTTGATGTTGTTGGATCACCAAATGATTCTGAGAAAGTCGATAGATATTCAGGTGTGAAATTTTGTGTTGATCTGATGTGGTGTTCCGACGTTGAAGTCTGGATTTTGGGCATGTTATCTGTTGTTGTTGTAACGGTATTATTATTCAAAGATAAACCTGCAGCTTTCTTATTTTCCACGGCCACTGTATTGTTGTTACCAGCATTTGTGTCAAGTAGCGGTGAAAAGTTATTTATTGTTGTTTCAAAAGCGTCTGTGTTTTCCCTTAATTTATGTTCTGTAGTAATCAGATCAATTTCTGAAACACTTGAAAGAGTTGTGGTTTCGTACTTTATTTCTGTTAATTTTATTAGTTCACTAGTATCAGTTGTGAGAAAGTTAGGCGATATCGTTGAACTTATGTCAACGTCATTAGAATTTAATAAAGCACTTGTATTAGTAATATTCGCTTCCGAAATCGTAGGTGATGTTAATTTCTCGATAAGTATGTTTGAATTAACTGTTGCATCAGTATCAATATTATGCAATATTTTAGGAACATTAAAAACGTCAGTGTTTTCCGGTACATTAGATATTGTTTTTAAACCCGGAACAATGGTCGAAGTTAAACTGTTTTCGACGGGAGTATCCACGTTAATTGTTAAATTAAAGTCAATTGTGTTACTAGCTTCTGTACTTTCCTTAACATTTGATTCTGTGTTGACATTCGATATTGTTGTTGTGACTAAAATTTCTCCGACGAGATTATTTGAATCCAATGTTACAACATCAATCTTTTGAGTTGTAATAGGAACAGATATCGTTGTTGTTGCATTAATTTTATTTATGTCTTGTTTTACTTTATCTGCTACGTTCTTGTTGTAAACAACTATTGTCGTACTTTCATTTATAGGCGTTTTTAAGTTCAATATTGAATTATCGTCTGTATTAGATATAATTTCGGTAGCCTGTAGTGTCGTTGAAGCAGTTTTCTGTGCATTAGATTCTGTGTTCACACTAAAAATAGGATTTTGCGTTACAAAGTTTTCAACAAATGAACTTCCTTTAGATATGGTAGCCGAAACTGTTTCAGGTGACGGAGTCACTATGGTGGTTTCATTTATATTACTTAAATAACTGTTAGTTTCCGTGACAAATGATTGATTGTGTTGTACACTAGGAAGAATGGTTGTAATGTCTATGTTTATAGCATTAGTCGCTGCCATAACCTCCTCAACAAGTGTTGCATTTACGTCAGTATTTACTATCTCGGGTACCGCAGTCGTAATTGAGTCAATTACTTCTATAGCTTTCTTTCGATTTATTTCTACGGGAATTACACTTTGATTTACACTATCATGTATTAAAACTGATGTACTATTATGTGCAGTAATTTTAGGATATGTAGTTGTCACACTAATTGTATTCATTGTTTCTGCAGTTTTCGTAATCTTAGGTGTCGTAGACACTTTTGTTACTGTGTCATCAACTCTTGAAGCAGATCTTCCATTTTCAGCTGTAGTAATTGGGGTCCCTAGAGTGACCGAGGTATCCATAGTAATGTCTTCTACCAGCGAGGTCGTTTTACTATTAATATTCAAGTTTGCCTCACTCGTATCCCTAATTTCAGTATTGATATCTGTAGATGTTTCGTACGTCTTTGTCACGAAATTGTTTTCATTATCATTTGATGTGACTGTATTATTACTTCCAGTCATGGTCCTAGTGACAGCTTCTACTTCTTTAATAGCTTTTCTTTCATTTATACCATTTTCGGACATATTTAATGTATTCGTGTTACTTGCAAACGCTGTTGAAGTAACAACCTCCATTTGTGAATTAGCTGTTGTTTCTTCTACATTTTTGTCGATCACATTTGATGTACTTATATTAGCTTCAGTTGCATTGCTAGCAATAACTTCTATTTTAGGATTTACCGTTGTTTCATTTATTTTATTTTCGGTTATATTTGATGCGCTTATATTAGCTTGAGTTGCATTGCCAGTAACCTCTGGGATAACCGTTATTTTATTTATACTGACATCAACAACGGTATCTGTTCCGTTTAGTAAAATAGTGTTAGCCACCAAAATGTCCTCTGTTGTTATTTGTGGCTTGAAAGTTGTATTTGGGATTGGTATTATTTCAGTGACTGTTTCATTTTCACTAATACTTATAACACTGGCTGGCGACGTTACTTCAACTAATTGAGATTTTGTACTCACATTCGTGTTATTCTGTAATTCTAAATGTCCTGCACTTGCATCAAATGAGAGAGTTGTGGGAACAACTATTTCTTCCCATGCAAGTGTCGTAGCACTTTCCAATTCGTTCGTTGCACTCGTCAAAGTAATTGGCACAGCAAGCGGAATGCTAACTGATGGTGGAAACTCACACTCAAAACGATTACTGTGGCTGCATACAGTCGGTGAAGGACAGGGAATAACGAAGTCATCGACGGTCGTTGACAATCCTCCGCCTAAGTCCACACAAATTCTGAAGTGAGTCGTATTCAAGCAGTGAAAACTTCTTCCACCACAGTCGATATTCGTTGATGCTATCAACGGGATTCCGATGAGCACCTGAAAACAAAATGAAAAATAACTCACTATGAAATAAAATTATTTGTTTACAAGATTCTTAAATTTTAAATTCGTCACGAGAGAAAAAACATAGCCTCAAACACGTACCGTTAATACAATTTTCAAGTCGTAAAATTTCCAAGTCATCTTGACATAACTTTTTTCTCGTTTTTGGTTTCGTTTGTAACAAATGTCGTCGTTTTAGGCCGTCGTTTTTCTCATGAAGTCTTGAGTCGAATGGCTCACTTGATTTAAACTCATGTAATTTCAAGTCGTAATTGTACTGTTAGCATAAGCGCGTATCATTTACACTGCGCACATCTCATTTTAGATTACACGACGACATTGAATAAATAAAGTTGACATTTTATTTCCTTCGCTGTGCCTGTGTTCTATTGCTTACACAGGCTTCGCAGAGTTTCGATATGACGATAGGATTTATGTATTTTGATTTTTCGCAGCCTTCAATTTTTTTTTGCACTACAAGTGGAAAGTTTGCCGATGTTATCACCTCGTATATTGTTTTGTTCAATCCGTCATTCAGTTTATTTATTTCTTAAGACTGATTACAATTTGTATATATTTCAACATGACGAAATTTTGAAATGTTTTTTCCAATTTTGTTCTCAATTTGAACAACCTATCAACCAATAAAAAAAACTATAACACTATACTTCCACTTCCTTTTCAAGGCGAGAGTGAATAGGCATTATTTAGGTGTGCATGCTCCATCGCCGACCTCATCGTCACTTTCCATCAGGTGAGATGGAAGTCAAATGCCTAATCTAGATCATATAATCATTCAAATGAATTTGTCATGTCACCCATTTCTGCGGAAACTATGTTTCAAATACTTAGAGAATAGTTGTTTATACACAATTCGTAATACTTTTATCTTGAGTTTCCTTTAGGATGTTTGCAGATTACTATTGTTTACTTCAAAATGTTGTTTGGTTTTCCCTCACTTGCATAACATATTTGCTTTTATTGTACGAGCACATTATCCAAATTGCGGATTATGGTAATTAGTAATGACAGTTAATGCATTTTAATAAACATTTTGTTAACATACCTAGCAAAATATTTACTCGCTCTATAATGTGTTTGTTGTCGATAATTTTTGTTGACGTTAATTACAAAAGTGGATATTACTGACTGACAAATTAATTTACGGAGCACAAGGAGTCATTTAAGATTATTTAACAGAATAAAAACGAATAACACGTGAAAAAATAAATATATTTGTAAGTAACATAAATACCTCATTATCACGAAATCCAATATTTTTACAATACAGCATATTTACAATTATTGCAATTACTAGTAAATTTTAAAATCTAGAATCTTCTACGTATATCGAAACTAAATGACTTTGAGTTTGTTATGTAAATTGACAATATTGCTATTATAGTCCATACTAATGTAACTACAGCCAATAATATACCTAAGACGAACATTGCATATTGAAAATCATAACCGTATTTAATTAAAATTGAAAGTCCACAAACAAATACGGCTAGAAAAGAGGCGGAAAGCGTTTCTAATGCACTGTGGACCTTAGGCCACTTTCTTACACCGACGAAATCTTGCACGGCGGTCTCCCAACATGACGATATGGCTCCGTAGCCTATCCCGGATACCACACACCCGATGGCAAAAACATCGTGATCTCTTGCTTCAGCAATCACTAAAAATGTAAAATTAAAGTTGTGAAAATCTACAGACTCATCGAGTTGATAACTCAGCTCGAATTTAAATATTTCCCTTACTCATACGGTTAATTTTGCTTAGATCGAGCGGCAGGACACTGGCTCTATTTCAGAATTTATTTTTTTACAAACGAGATTAAAGCCATTAGAAAAATGTATATACGTGTTCTGTTTAGTTCAGTTCATATAAAAAAATCATTGCTATTTGTACAATACCTATTGAATACAGCGGTTTTCTTGTAAAATTTCGAGGTAAATTTGTGTTTTTTTTTCTATCATGAAAATTTTTAGGAATCGTGTTTTCACGCCGTACAGTAATCAGTGTACATCCAAAATGATTGATTCAATACTTTCACTGTTATACGGAATCAACCAAAGCCATCTTAATACCTACATACTAAGGGTCGTATTGTAGAACTCTACTCAATACTCAAGTCAGGATTGCAATTGAAACACAAGCACTGGAAATACAACCCTAATGGCAGGGACTTGAGTATGATTTCGAGTGCTTTGAATCATACTCAAGTCCTGACTTGATCATTGAGTAGTGTTCTAGAATACGACCCTTAGTAAAGAATTTTTTTTTAAATACTTACTGAAACAAGCTGCCGTTGACATGATAAGACCAACTACAGCAACATATTTAAAGTTCCTTTTTACTGTTTGAGCTAACCATGGCGTACAGAGCAGGAAACATATCCAAGTAAATCCATGCAGAGTTATTAAAAAGTTCGCTTCAATCAACGATATTTTTGGATGCATCTGAGTTGCAATCATCGGTAGCAACGCCAATGAGATAGCTGTTATACTAAGCTTTGACCAACAAAGTAATAATGAAGGATAAAATCTCCAGCACGACAATGACCTCGACAAAGGTTTAACAAATGTATCATTTAGACTATACTTCACATACGTCATTCTGCGTTTTATTCTATGCACTCTATATGAAGGCATCCACATTCTTCTTCGTATACTTGCAAATGCCGATTGGCAACGATAACTAAACGAATCTAACACTCTTTCTCTTTGTATTTCAGTCACTGGTGATATGTTATCATAAGCTACCTCTATCTCCTCGTATTCTCTACTTTCACTAAGGTTGCTTTGAGGATCTCTTCGAGTATGTTTCATTATGTACTCACTAAAGTTATCACCCATTGTACTTAATCTCTTAATTGCAACACTAAGTCGTTTTTTATTATTTTTCATTTTTGCATCGTTTTGTTCATCTTCGTTTTCGTCGCTCTCTTCACTTTCTTCAGGTATTTCTGGTAGTATTTCTACGCCAAAAATATTGCGCCTCTTTTCTTCTGGACTTGGAGGTGGCGTTATTGTTACGTTAGCGTCTTCTTCGTAAATTTCATTGATAAAGTCTTCTTCACAGTGCAAATTATCATCGGAAGGGCTTCGCCAACTTTTTTTACCCATATCATGTAACTGTAGCTCTGTTGAGTAATAATGTGACTCTCCGTTATTAAACAAGGAGTATGCTTTAGATACATCGCTGTACCTTGAGAAGGACATGGGTCTGGTGTCGCTTTCTTCAACTTTTAGTAGCAAAATTGCGGGAAGAGTCTGTAGCATGATGCCACTTAATACGATGTAGGAAAACTGATAACTGTACTGGTCAATCAGAGCTGTCAATATGTGAGGAAATATTGCTTGTCCAATTGCTTGTCCGGTAAAGCAGACACCTCTTATAAGTCCTAAATGCGAGTAGTACGTTTCGAAGACTACCGCATCAACTTGTGCAGAAATTAGTGACGAGCCGAGACCTAGAACAAAATTGCTAAATTCGTACCAAATAATACGTATAATTTTGTACAATAGTACAAAAATTGTAGTTCGCACCTCAATGCTTTTTTAAATTAACTTATACCTAGGAAATGAAACTATTTTTCCGGATTTTAATCGCGTATAATGGTTTTCTCAAACAAACCAACGTTCCGGGCCCTTTACAGATCCCATGGTCACGGTATTCATTTCCTATGTATAACAATCGCGGAAACCTAAGAACTCGATAACTTATACCAGTAGGTATAATGTAATTTTATTCATTTATATGGAGAACTCACACGACCAAATAATTGACTATGCCATTATATTTTTATTCAATTAAAAGATAGTTTTATTACTTTTTTTATAGCTGTTTTGTTATTTGTAAACTTATTGTTACTTCTTAAAGTATGTCAACTAAAGCCTCCGTACGAATGTCATATTAAATGTATGGGATCGTTTAACGTTAAAATTTTCTAGTTTCATTTTTAAAAAGTTATTGATATCGATTTACTCGTTAGGTAACGTACTTTCGATATGAGTTATTATTATATAGTTAGAGCGTTTTGATTTCTCTTCTATTTACGGAATAACGCCTGGGCATACTTATGGGCACTTACACATAAACACGATACGCGTCGTTCAACGACGCGGCATCGTTTCACGATGCGATGTCGTATCGTGGAAATCTACGACGAGCAACGTAAAAATTGACGACACCTCGACGTGACACGACGCACGGCACGTCGTCGTATCGTAGAAACTCACGGTGCACTCCCCAGTGCCGCATTCATTTGTTATTCAATATTCAAAGATGACTTTGTATTCTTCTGATGTTTTGTCCCATAGTACAAGACGCTCCTCGACTAGGATTATTAAATAATCGACCTCAATGTCGTCTGTCATCTTTTAATGTTGAACAACAAATGAATGCGGCACTGGCTGACCGCATTGTCAGTTTCTACGATACAACGTCGTACCTTGCGTCGTGACACGTTGCGATATCGTGTCGTGAATTCTTACGTTGCTCGTCGTAAATTTCCACGATACGACACGTGTTTTTGTGTAAAAGCCCTAACGATGTACCTGTATTACAATTTGGGATTTTTTTAAAACGAAAAGGGTGTGAAGTGGACACAAAAGCGTTGAGATTATTTTTGGGTATAAAACTATGAACATTTATATGCCACTATTATTATTACAAACCTCCAAAAACACCGTACACCAACGGGTGCCAATTGATAGGGATGAATGCACAGATTAGTAGATTAGATACGACCAATATGAGACCCAGTGTTGCCATCACCCGATAGCCGGTCGGTCCTCCCCATGTGTCAGTTGCGTCACGACACCAACATTCTGAAATTATTTTTTCACATTTTCAAAACATTATCTCATCAACCCACTATCGTGTTGCTGGACACGGGAGAAGGTCTTGGCTGCTAACAGATGGACTGCATGTCTACGGTTAATGTTAAATAACAAAGAAAATTCAACTGCAAACGTCGGGGATTACGGACGTGAGCTCGTTGACAAAATAAAGTAGAGGACTTCTATAACGATATCGTCGGGGTAATTCAAATTCAAATAATGACTTCTTGCAATATTATTACGGTATATACAAAACTAACTTTGCCTAAGTATAAACTTAGGCAAAAAATGTTTACTACGTAATTTCTTGGTAAGCAAACTTAGTTTTGTAAATACGAAAAATTCAAGGTTCGTTTTGTAAATCTCTCGGCCTTAATGTGGTACGAATGTCTCTAACTACGCGAATTACGCTCTGATACGTAATACCCTTGTCGGAACAATAGCATACCGTCGAGAATAGTGCAATTACGCGTAACTAGCATTGGATTATTAGTTTCCATTTCGGAAATATTTGTGGCCAAATCAAATCCTCCGTAAATGTTGTGGCAACCAAATTGGCGTGATTTATTGGAATCTATTGTTATCAGTACGTAGACAACATAAATTAATGCTTGCATTGAAATAACAAAGTAATAACGTCAAAACCTAGTCCTGTAAAATTTGGTTTAGTGCTGTTACGCGCCTTTTCCCAATGCTACATACGCGGATTTGCACTATCCCCGACGATATGTTTATTTCCTTAATAACAAGTAAAATCAGAATTTGGAATCGTAAATGTTCTGTATACAGTGAAAAGTTACAACTAACATCTGTGCTTCCATTTCGACATCAACAAAATACACTGAGTTCCTGGACTAGGCACTCAATGATAACTGTTTCGACTGCATGAAGTGGTATATATTGCCTTCGTGCGGCAGTCCCTCTGGTAGTAGCCTTAGAAAGGGGATTGCGAGTTTTCGAAATTATCATAAAATTATTTAATAAGGTTTCGGGTGTAACTTAGTGTAAATCACTTTTTGATGAAGCCGACATGTCGGAAGATATAAATGGCAGCATAATTGACCATGAGTAAAAAAAAACCCGTTAAATGATGTTGTAAACGGTTCTTACGAAATTAATTTTTATTATTTCAGAAACTTCTCAGTTTTAGATAGCAACATTATCAACACTTATACGTTCCACCCGTGCTCCTATTGGACACGGATCTCTTCGAAATAGACAGTAATAAATTGTAAACCTTACGTGAAAGGCCGTAGGTGAGAATAAAAACGGCCGGCGTTGAAAAAGCCAGCCACAATGGAACATCGTAGTCAGCAGCATGCACTAACAGCACACCATATGACAGCACGAGGCTTGGGAGGCAAATCTGGAAATATTACAACCATTATTTGTTAAAATTGTCTATTTCAAAGGGTCATTGAAACTCGACTCTGATGTAGTGGCGTTATAAGCATTGATTCATTTTGTGTTTTAGGAGAATGTTTATATGTATGTATTTTCTGGCGGCGTTACGTAGGTACTGCGTGCCGGTTGAAGTGTAAGGGTGCTAGTGAAATTACATGTTCAACATGTCTTTGTAATTTCCACTTACTTATATTGCTTATATAATATATTACTTTTCTATGCTTCAATTCCGGTTTCTATTCTCACTCCTTCACTGTTCATGCGGTCAGACTTTGGAATGCACTTCCTATTACTGTTCGCGAAAGTAAATCGTTAGCTATTTTTAAAGTGAGAGCTAAAGAGCATTATTTATCTACTATTCCATCCATATCTTAGGTATTATATTATAAAATATGTATTTATCTAAGTATTTATATAACTTATAACAATTTAATATTATTATATTATTTTTATATTATTTTTTTCCTTGTTTTGTTGTGCACATATGCCCCTTCTTTTAGTTATAGTGTCCTGTATTTAGATCTGCAGGAAGAAATTTCTATTAGAAATAAGCAGAACCTTTTGTTTTTAATTTCGCTTGTATTCTTTGTGACTTGTTGTATTTTTCCTGTACAATAAACTATTAAATAAATAAATAAATGTCTCAGGGTAACTGGCGCAGTGGCAGTGGCCCTCAGTACTTTGCGATTTAAAGCTCTGAGTATCGCTGCAACTGTTATGGATAGGCGTATCGCTTACATTAGGCGCACGACTTCTTAGACCCGTCACTTGGATATCTTAAAAAATATTAGTTCGTAAAATTTTCGCCAAATCTAGCATATCAGGTTATAAAAGGTTTATTATAACCTTATACGTACTTCGAATTTCATATACTTTACTGAAAATGAGATTTCTAAATCATTTTTAACCGAATTAAAAAAGGCTAAGGTTCTCAATTCGACTGTAAGTATTTTTATGTATGTTAGGCGATTACTCTGACATGTGTGAATGGATTTCAAGGATTCCTTTTTCTATGAAAGGGGTAGGTTATGTATGTACCCCTTTCCTAGTAATGGTACCATTCAAATTTGAAAAAAATATGCCTCGTCTAATAGTGGCAAATTGGGGGATGAATCCGGTTTATTGAATTTCACCCCCTTTCCGTTAACCGATCTCAATAAAAGTTGGCACAAAGATGTAATTCTAAGACGGCATGAAAGCAATTCGTATTGGCCAAAGCAAACATACCGGAGGCGCTGCAGCACCGGGGTAGTCTCAACATCATCCTGAAGACGTTATTATAATGGACACGCAGGAAATTTAGCGACCTTTGGGAACACCTAAACCACAAGCCGCCAGTATACAGACCCTGACAATACGTTTTGAAGAGCGAGCGTTATTTTGAATTGATCCGCACAGCGGACAAACCTGCGAGCGAGCATATATCCGCGTATCGCCAACGCCCTGCGCTCCCTCTCCACATCGTCATTATCTTTAAGGTCGTCGGCAAGAATATGTACGAGGTACTTAAATCGAGACATCTGTTTTACAGTCATGCCATTTAGTGTAATCGATGGAAAGGTCTCTGGACACTTACCAGGGGCCTTGAAGACCATGAACTCACATTTTTTAACATTGTATATCAGTCCCTGCGATGCGGCGTAGGCCTCACAGACTACCAACATCATCCCAATAGACCTCGCGCTCGGGCCCAGCAGTACCATATCGTTCACAATGCTAACCGCGAGGCTATTGAAGCAGTTTGTGTGTATCATGCAATTGAATGGAACTGCTAATGCAGTTTTGTATATTAATGCAAAAAAATCATTTTGGAAAGAGGTTTGTTTTAACTATAGGGACATATAAACATGGGTTTAAGAAGTAACCCTTAGTTTAAATGCAAATTAGTCTAGTAGTATAGTTTATTTTTAGTACCATGTTAAAATAGCACCACCCCCTCTCATCCTGTGGGTGTCGTAAAAGGCGACTAAGGAAAATTGTCAGAAGAAGACGGGCAGCAGCGTCTTCTACCCATCTTGGCCAGAACTGCGATCGCCAACCCGCCAGCCAAGCGTGGCGATTATGGCACAACCCCCCCACGGTACACACACCAAAGAATTGGCCCCTAGTCCCCGGCAGTCCTGCTCTTCCTAGTCACGGTAGCGGCTTTGGAAACAGGGCATGGGGTGCGAAGAATCCCCGGGGGAGACCCGGCTACCATCAACGACGACGACTGGACCTGGCAACCTACAACACGCGCACATTGAGGACCGACGCAAAGCTCACAGAATTGGAAGAAGCTATTAGTAAGTTACGCTGGGATATCATTGGGCTATCTGAAGTCCGAAGAGAGGTGGAGGACTCGATAATCCTTAATTCCGGCAACTTACTGTACTACCGGGAGGGCGACCAACAGTCCCTTGGCGGTGTCGGGTTTATTGTCCACAAGTCCCTTGTTAACAAAGTGATTTCCAGAAGTGTGTCGACCAGGGTGGCATACCTGATACTCAGAATATCAAAACGATATTCGTTGAATGTCCTTCAGGTTTATGCTCCGACCTCGACACACCCAGACGACGAAGTGGAGGCTATGTATGAGGAGATCTCAAAAGCCATGCATAGCTACAAAACCCACTACAAGGTTGTGATGGGGGACTTCAATGCAAAGTTGGGAAAGCGTTGCGGTGATGAGCTGAGAGTGGGGCAATTTGGAGTTGGACAACGGAACGCCAGAGGCCGGATGTTGGTTGATTTCATGGAAAAGGAGAACCTCTATATGATGAACACCTTTTTCAGGAAATCTCCAACTCGAAAGTGGACCTGGATGAGTCCGGACGGTAAAGTAAAAAATGAGATTGACTTTATCATGTCGACGAAAAAGCATATATTCAATGATGTCTCTGTGATCAACACCGTTAGAACAGGAAGTGATCACCGGTTGGTACGAGGCACATTGAATATCAATATCCGGCTGGAAAGAACTCGACTGATAGAGTCTACGCTCCGACCAATACCTGCACAACTCCAAAACCCCGAGAGCTTTCAGCTCGAACTTCAAAACCGCTTCGAAGCCCTCGAAAACTGCATAGATGTGGACGATCTAAACAACATGGTGGTGGATACTGTCCGTACGGTTGGGTCCAAGTTTTTCAAAACCCACCGTACCAGAATAAAGAAACTCTCCGACAAAACACTTCAACTCATGGAACATAGAAATGAAATGAGGCTACAGAACTCAGAGGATGCAAGTCACTACAGGCGGCTAAATAGGCAGATATCGAAGTCTTTGACTAGCCAATTTAATACAGAACGCGTTAAAGAGGCCATTGAGCGGAACAAAGGCTCCAAAGTTTTCGCGAGAGATCTGTCTATTGGGCAAAGCCAACTGACGAAGCTAAAGACTGATGACGGTAGCATCATTTCATCTAAGCCTGAAATCCTGAGGGAGATAGAGAGTTTCTATCGACAGTTATACTTTACGAAAGCAACTGTTGAAAGCGAAGTTAAAGACCCCAAAGTCAAGCTTACCAAACATTATACCGAAGATATCCCGGACGTCAGCCTGTATGAGATTAGTGTGGCTCTCAAACAACTCAAGAACAACAAAGCGGCGGGCGATGATGGAATCACTACAGAACTTCTGAGAGCGGGCGGCAAGCCGATACATAAAGTCCTCCAGAAGCTTTTCAATTTTGTCATCGTCGAAGGTCAAACGCCGAAGGCATGGGGCAGAGGCGAGATGGTTCTGTTCTTCAAAAAGGGTGATAAAACACTCTTGAAAAACTATCGGCCAATCTCGCTTCTGAGCCATATCTATAAGTTGTTTTCGAGAGTTATCGCGAATCGTCTCGCTCGCAGGTTTGACGACTTCTAACCTCCCGAACAAGCCGGTTTCCGAAAGGGTTTTAGTACCATAGACCACATCCATACGTCGCGGCAAGTTACACAGAAGACCGAGGAGTAAAACCGGCCACTTTGCTTAGCGTTTGTGGACTATGAGAAGGCCTTTGATTCGATCGAGACCTGGGCGGTGCTGCAGTCTCTCCAAAGGTGCCAAATAGACTATAGGTATATAGAGGTGTTAAGGTACTTATACAAAAACGCCACTATGTCAGTCCGATTACAGGATCAGAGCTCTAATCCTATCCAACTGCAACGAGGTGTGAGACAAGGAGATGTGATATCTCCGAAAATGTTCACTGCTGCGTTGGAGGATATTTTCAAGTTTCTGGACTGGAAAAGACTTGGCATCGACATCAATGGCGAGTACCTAACACACCTTCGGTTTGCCAATGATATAGTTCTTATGGCTGAGACCTTGGGAGACCTCAGTAGTGTTTCCCATAGAGTGGGTCTTAAGATGAACATGGACAAGACGAAGATCATGTCGAATGTCCATGTAGTACCCGCTCCAGTTAAAATTGGGAGCATTACACGCGAAGTTGTTGACCATTACGTGTACCTGGGACAGACAGTCCAGTTAGGTAAGTCCAACTTTGAGAAAGAGATCTCTCGTCGAATCCAGCTCGGATGGGCAGCGTTCGGGAAACTACAAAAAATCTTTGCGTCCAATCTACCTCAATATCTCAAGACGAAAGTCTTTGACCAGTGTGTGTTGCCAGTGATCACATATGGATCAGAAACGTGGTCCCTCACTATGGGCCTCACAAGAAGGTTCGAGGTCACTCAGCGGGCAATAGAGAGAGCGATGCTCGGTATTTCCCTACGTGATAGAATCAGAAATGAAGAAATCCGTAGGAGAACTAAGGTAACCGACATAGCTCGAAGAATTGCTCAACTGAAGTGGCAGTGGGCGGAGCGCATAGCTTGCGAGAACCGATGGCCGTTGGGGCGGAAAGGTTCTTTAATGGCAACCGCGCACCGGACGACGCTCAGTGGGTAGGCCCCCCACCAGGTGGACCGACGATCTGGTAGAGGTCGCGGGAAGCCGATGGATGCGGGCAGCGCAGGACCGATCGTCGTGGAGATCGTTGGGAGAGGCCTATGCCCAGCAGTGGGCGTCGTACGGCTGAATGATGATGATGATGATGTTAAAATGTTGTACTGTTATAAATTTTTTATTTAACATTTTTTTACATTTCAATTTTCAATCTACATTCTGTTTAACTTTAATAAATTAGCATCATCAAAACATAACAATAAATCAAATTCATTATCCACAAGAACATTTAACTGGTCCCAAGTGTGTCGAAAATAAAACAATGTAACACAACACACTCGTGCGAGTCAATTGCATTTGTTTTTAACCATAACTTTGCTTATGTGATTCAAATCATTTATAAATGCTCAATTTCAACTTACAAGCTCAACAGAATGTGTAGTAAACGATCCTTACCGTTACATATGAAGGAGACGTGGTATTGTGTAATTGATATACTCTCTCTACAAAAGTCGGTTTCCTATCACTCATCAAATAAAGATTATAAACATTTGACGCCTATCTTCTGCCTTGTTGAACGATTTTGGCAGTCTCTGAAGTTTTTCAAACTCTGAATCGTCACCAGGCAATCATACCTTTTACTATTTGCATTTAACCTGGCTGTGATCACAAATTATTTTGGGGCGTACATTACATTATTTTATTTTATTGAATATCGTGATGTCTTTAAACACATTCAATAAAATAATATATTGCACTTAATATAGCGACATCTCTTGTCAGTTTGTGGTAGCTCTAAAGGTACCTGCCTGTGAAGAAACTTTCATAAGATTCTCACAGGTGGCGCTACGGCAAAAAAAAACATAAAAACGCAATACAAAGATCTGTGACAAGTATTTATAGAGAAATTCATAAGATCGATCTATATAGTTGGTAACAGCTGTAACCACGTTGAAGCTACAGACGCTAGTACGAGTACAGACGAATCGAATGCTTGTCTTCCAGTAGAGCTCCAGATGTACCTAGGCATAGATTTTATTCATCATGGAATATTGCATTTGTGACGCAAAAGGAAAAGATCCTCACTTATCGTATAAGTGATAAAAACGTGTGATATACCAAGTAAACAGTTAATTATAGATCGTTCACATAAATCACAAGGTGTAGTAGCATTAGGTACGCAGAATTTCCTACCTATCTTTAACATTTCATGATAGTTAGATAAACATCTATAGATAGACAATACATTTGTTTTGGTGATAGGTTAGCTTTACGCCACTTTGTAGATACATCGGGCGTACTTTACCCGTCGACTCTACCAATTAATTACATAGGCTTTTATACTTGTACAGTAATCGAAATTTGCGATCTGTAATTTAATACTTTAAAACGTTATTAGTAGATAAGTTATACATACATTCAACAAGACAACAGAAAGCAAAAGAGGCCAGCGCCATGACGCGCCTCTAAATCTGGTCTCAACATCCATTGCGTTTCTCCTTCATCTTCAACTATGATTGCTTTAACAGAATGCACCGATGCACTATAAATTGAAGCACTTCATAAACTCATTTCAACTAGATATAGGAAACCAATATTTTAATATAAATCACCTAGTAAACAGAGAGCATTATCGTACTGACAGTCAATTCCATCCAATGAGTTATCGACTGCCACAACACGTAGCTACTTTAACTTATCTTATCGTCTCAGTGCAAGAACCCGAGGTGATTTAAATTACTGTTTTGTCAGTTGAAATTTTTTTAATGTGAATACTTAAAAACGTAAAACTGTAAACTGTAAGTTATGTACGAGTTTCTAGTAGATAGGTCAATAAGAAAGAAGATATCCGTAATATTAACCTTAGAGCAAAGTCCAGACTCATGGCACGAAGATTTCGTTTAACCAAGGTAAACGACTCTTTTATGGGGAAATTGTATATGTTTTTACAATAAGATTGCGGAGCATATATTAAGATTATCATTTCCTAAGTTTAAAAATGACATTAAAAATATTTTGATTGAAAAGTCTTATTACAAAATTGAAGACTACGTGTTAAATAAAGATGTATGGAAAGACGACCTGGCTCCAGATTCCACACAAATGTGTATTCCATAGCATTTAAGTTTATTTGAAAAGAGCAATCCCTAGACTTTCTTCCTCGTTCTTCTCAGGGAAGTCAGCGTAGTCAACGAGCAATAGCTTATATGTGAAATTTTCAAGTGAATGATTCTTTGACTTTAGTTCCTTTTCTCAGGGGAATAGGTAGAGTCGAAAAACACGACGATTTCAAGTGTAGATAATTTACTTAAATACTTGTTAAATGTGATTTTGAGTTTTGCTTATTTAAACTACGTAATCTAAGTAGTAATTTCTTAAAGTAGATAATTTACCTACTACTACCTAAGTACCTATACTATCGAAGTAGTTACCTATATCAAATAGTTCATTTTTCAATGGGTTCCTATAAACCACTAACACACAACACAACGAAAAGTTAATCTTACGTGCCGTCAACTGTATCGAACAGTGAGTTTGTTGTTTATGCACCATTGTATTAAGTCTTTATTACAAGTACAATCATATAAAAATATTTTCGGACGATTGTCGCTAATGGCAGGGTAATAATTACTAGGCAACTAGGTACATCTATAGATACATATTGTTATCAATAATGTCTAATAAAATTTATCTACTGATTTACATATTAGACCAAATAAAAAATAGAGATGCGCGCTTGGCGTGAACGGCACGTGTCGTGCATGTTCAGTACATTACCGGATGTATTGCATAAATATGTTACGTATATCCATTGGTAAATTCGGTAAAACTTGGTTTGCCCGGGTAAATTTAAAAATAAAGGATAACTAGTGGAGTAATTTCACAAGCATAATTGTATATCGTGGTGGTCATCGTGACATTCAAAAACTTAAAAATTAAAGCGACATCTGTAGTCAGCTGCCGATGCCGATAGCCGTAAATGTACCTGAGTGAAGAAATTGATTTCTCACAGATGGCGCTACGGCAAAAAATACTTAAAAACCAAAGATCTGCAACAAACACAAATACAAAAATTCGTAAGGTCCGCTATATCGTTCCGTGGCTTAGTTGGCTCAGCGTCTGGCTCTGTTTGCTGGAAGACGTTGGATCGAATTCGGATGGAAGGATGTTTTTCTAAATGTTCGATATTTGTATTAATAATAATAAAGAACATTGATAAAATATATTTCTTCTCGCTGTAATAACGTAGGTATATGGGTAGGTAGGTAGGTAGGTACTTTTATGAACCTAAAATTCTCCAAGTGAAAAGTCTGTGCCATGTGGTGTTGCATCATTCTTATGATTATATAGATTTTTATTTGCATGCATGCCTATCAATTATGTATTAATTAACTTAACCTAGCTGATATTGGTTAGACTGAGACTTAACCAACTAATGGACGAGTAAAATATTTTTTTTCATTTATTTTTTATAAAGCAAATCAAAACCTTGTAACTAATTACAATCTAGCCATTTTATAAGACTATTAGGCAATTTTAATTTAACATAATTTCCTTAAATAATAGTAACATATAGCAATTGTCCATCGACAAAATATCTTCTTATATTATTTAAGGGGAAGACACTTTGTTTATGTGTTCATAGTCTAGTTAACACTGACACTAATATTTATTTTATTCACTATAACTTAACTACACCAACTCAAAAAGTTTAATTCTTTGAAGTCTACGCAATAGATTAGTATTGTCTAGAAGCTGTAGGTATAGACTCTATGTTCACGTGATGATGAAGTCTATGTTCGTTTAGTAGCAGTAGAGCTCCTTGTGAAAGAGTTCGTCCAGGGAAGAAGCAGTAATGTGAACATTACTACGTTCCGGTTTTGAAGAGTAAGGGTGCTGGTGAAATCACAGGCACATGGGACCTTTTCGATTTGAAGCTCTAAGTGACACTGCGAACGTTATGTACAGGCGTGAAGCTTATCACGAGGCACACGACTTGCTCGTCCCGTCACTTGACGTTATAAAAAGAAAAGCTTCGGCGTTCTTTTTTATTTTTTTTTAGCCGCGCGTCGGCCGCGCGTTTCAGTGTAGCAGGGGTCATATGAACTCGCACATTACAAAAATTCCCGCGCCCGGAACGCTTCCGCGCCCGCCTCTGCGACGAGTAAAATAAGTAGGTAATTAAATTTTATTAAGCTTAGATTTCAGACTTTACATAAAAGTCTTGGGCTATCCTAAATTAAACGGGCGATTTACTTACTTCTCTAATGTTATTCTCCGTAATAACGTACGATCCGTGCCCGTGACCGATTGAGCGGAAACGTTCGCACATTGTATATAAAGCATAATATAAAATAAAACACTGGCGAACGTTTTAATTATCGAATTAATTATAGAATTAAAACGTTCGCCCGGTGTTTTATTTTATGTTATGCTTTATATACAATGTGCGAACGTTGCCGCACAATCGGTCACGGGCACGGATCGTACGTTATTACGGAGAATAACATTAGAGAAGTAAGTAATAAAATGAATGGCACATGTGACGCAAGGGCACTGCGAAATTATGCGAATGTTTGCGTCCATAGTCTATACACGGTCGATCGGTGGACGTGCACACATAGTACATGCTGCGCGGCTACATTTGTGGAGTTACCACATTGGTACATACTCAGAACACTGGGTTTAATTTTGCCGTAATTTTATTTATTTATTTAGTTAAGGCCACATGGTAGACCTTAAGGACGAACATACATACAATATAATGAAACACTACTTCTAACTAATCTACACGAATTGCTCTTGTCGGCGATGTGTGGCGCAATCTGGTGTCAGGTAACCGGCCGCGGAACCGCCGATATAAGAACCTTCGGCCGAAATTTTTCCTTCATAAAGGTAGATAGATGTTCAGTCGGTACTCTCACCACGAACGAATTGAAATTCACGTTGTAGTGGGACTCCAACCGCTCGACCCCAGGAAGTATTTAGCTTTATCTCATTTGTGACGTTTCCGCCGGGGCGGAGGGGCGGGCAGCGGATCGCAGTGCTTCACGCGCGGTGGCTACAGCAATCGGTGCATTCGAATGTGCCGACTCGATACTGCAAATGGATGCATTTTGCGCCCCACGACGCATGTTTACATTAGAAGCTTCTGGTGACCTACGTACCAAAGCAGCGTTGCTTATAGACACGCAGCTCATTTACGGTGTTATCCGAAGACTCTAATTTACATTGTAACTCGCTAGGCTCGACTTCAGGGACGTAATGTCCTTCAACAGCCTAGTGATATCGACGTGGTCGAACGTGACGGGGCCAGTGTTGGGCAAAATTTGATTGTTCTGGCAATTAAAGATTGACAATTAATTAATTGTCAATTGCGAAACAGCAATTAACGATTGATCAATTGTTAGTTGCGAGAACAATTGATCAATCGTTAATCGCGTATATCTACAATTAATCAATTTTCAATATTTTCAATGTTTTTGTTTAACAATTAACAATTAAAACTGACTATTATGATAAATTTATAGGGCATATGGGGGTGGGTTAGGCAGTGGGTTAAGGGGTTTTAGGATTTTTTTTGGGTTGGGGGGTTAGGACTTGGGTTGGGGGTTAGGATTTGGGTTGGGGGTTAGGATTTGGGTTGGGGGGTTAGGTTTGGGTCGGGGAGGCATCTCCTACCACCTTGCACAGGTTCTGACGGGGCACGGTTGCTTCAGCAAATACCTTTGCAGTGTGGGACGAGAACCGACGATCGAATGCCATCAGTATGGCTGCGCCGATGACACGGCCCAGCACACACTGCAGACATGTCCGGAGTTCGACGAGTAGCGGTCAACCCTGACCGCAGTGGTGGGGCACGACCTATCCCTGTCGACTGTGGTGCGTACCATGGTCGGCAGCGAGAGGGCGTGGAGTGCGGTGGCCTCCTTCTCCACCGATGTATTGTCGCGGAAAGAGGCGGCGGAACGGGAGTCATTACAAATATGGGTTTAGGAGGTGGGTTAGGGGTGGGTTAGTGGGTGGGTTGGGTCCCCCAAATGGACAACCCCCCGGCCCCACAACCGGCCCCCAACCGGCACCCCAACCGGCATCCCAACCGGCCCCCAAACCGGACCCCCAACCGACCAACCAACCGGGCCCCCAACCGATCTCCCAATCGCCAAACCAGCCGACCCCCCAACCGAACCCCTCAACCGACCACCTAACCGACCCCCTAACCCATCCCCTAACACACCCCTAACCCACCTCCTACACCCATATTCGTAATGCACTTTTATTCGGTACTTTCATTTTTAATTGTTAGTTTCAATTGTTTGTTAGAACAACTAAAAAAATTAATTGTAATTAATTTAATTTTCATTAACTTCTGAAAACGTTGATAATTTTTAAATGTCATAATTGCGTTACTATAAATCCGAAATAATTTGCGAACTTAACCAAATTAAATATAAAGTACCTATCTCAGAGATGGCGCAAATACAATAGAATGTTTCAATTATTAATTAAAGCTTGATTTTTCTTGAGCGTACCTACTTAGACTTTAAAGTAGATAGTAATGTTTGTTGCAACACAACATTAAGCTTCACAATGTTTGACCCAGTACGCAGTAGAAACGTTGCTTTTTTAATACTTTTTATTAAAAAAATGAAAATGTAACAATGTTGAAGCAAAAAGGTAATTTTTCAAATAATAAAATGTTATATTTTACTTAAAGGCACTGGCAACACTTACTATTGATGTGCACGCATCAGTGCTGCGCGTGACCTGTGCGTGTACGCGAGTAAAGTGGCATTTATAAAATTAACATTACGCATACCATTTTGAACGAAATGAGCATTGAATTAAAAGAAAAATTAATAGAACAAGTCAGAAAGTATCAATGTATTTACAACCCAGCACACAAACAGTACAAAAATATCAACTACAAAACGACGTTGTGGAACAACATCGCGGCGGAACTGAATATCGAAGGTATACAGTTTTAGTAAATTAAATTTTAGTATAAGTAGGTTATGAAATTCTCAGAAGAGTTAAGAGCATGTCAAGCTTTACACTTGATATAAATACAAGTTTACATTGGACAAAAATAGTGGAACTGTACATAAGAACAATAACCTAGAACTGTGCAAACTGACATTAATTGACGACGATCGATAACCATATAACTCTACATTGCTTATGCTTACAATAAGAACAGTCCAAAGTCCTAAGTGTCAAGCTTGACTTGCTCTTGACTGCACAACCATCATAAAAAGGGAATTTAGAATAAAGGTAAAAGCATAGGAGTTTTTTTTTTTGTCAATTTCAATAAATTACAACTATCGTTCTAGGTTCCAAAGCAAAAGAGACGTGGCGCTCTCTGCGAGACGGATACATTCGCTACAAAAAACATGTAAAAGGGCAATCAGGCATAGGTAGAAAATATTGCTATTTCACTTGGAGCTCACAATTAGCATTTTTAGATAAAGCGTTGAAATTAGGACCAACAACTACCAATCCAACAACGCTGCAAAACGGATCCGAATTTGGCGATGCTACTGGGCCGCAACAATCATCACTTACCCAAGAACTACCACATTCATCAGAACTTTCGCTGTCGTCTCCACTATCAGGTTGTTCCTGGGCAGGACCTCCGCCGCTATCACGAACACCAGACTTCAATACTTCCACACAATCACTACTGCATCTGGATACTAACTCACCGTCATCGCTTTCTTCATTGTTACTTCAGAAGATTGTTGAAGCAGAGAATAAAAGAGCAAAATATGATGCCGTTGACCTTTTATTTATGAGTTATGCAGCCACCTTCAGAAGATTGACATTAAGAAAGCAAGCGGAATTAAAAGTAAAATTAGCGCAACTTTTCGCTGACGCCGAATTTAATGAAATGGATAATTTTCCAATGCATGACCCCCAACCATGCTCACCAGTAATACATTCAGTAATGTTAGAAGAACCAACATCGCAGAACTTTGTAGAGCTTAAAAGTGAATGTGACAGTGACTGAAAATGCTTATTTAAGTAAACAAATGAGAAACATTATATTACCTTTTATTTTCATACGACTATTTCATCTGCGTGTTTGAAATTTTAATATCGCTACACCTGCATCTTTTACAAATTTCCTTAAACAGTGTCTGTGTTATAACTGCCTAGGCTAAATGCTATGCTTGTTCGGGAATGGTTTTCTCGAGATTCCCACTATTCAAGACTAACTTTTATTATTTGCGCAATTATAAAATAAAATAAAAACGATCAAAAAATATTTCGAAAAATAAATAGAAATATATTTCATACGGGTATTACTTTGGTCTTCGAAAAACCAATGTTCAAGATTTGCAATAAAAAAAACAGTGACATGAACAGTTTGACAGTTACTTTATTTTGGTCCTTAATTTTCGTTGGCCGTCGGCTGTCTTTCTTTTCACTTCATTTACAAACGTGTGTTTTGAAAGCAAAATAAAACAGAAACTTTATTTTTGCTAACGTGTTACATAATGGTAGACGAGAATTTACTTCAAGAATATTCAGAATCCATAAGAAGACTCAAAAGGCAATGTTTAGAGGCCGGTATGAGCGATGACGAGTTTCGTAAACTTTACTTTGAATCCTTGAAATCTTTAGACGCTAGAGACACTCCAGAGGCGCAATCTCGTTTACGATTCAGGGTAAAATATCTGGTATTAGTCATAGGAGTGTTAGTTTTGCTCTTAGCGGCTTTTAACAGCAAATACATGTACAGCACAATGATGTGCAGTGTGCAAGAATACATTTATCCTGGCTTAAGACTTTTGCGACGGATCTCTATACCTTTGATATCTTTATTCCCTTCGTTGACTGGTGAGTATGTTTCCATAGGTTTCATTGATAATAAGGCTTTTAGATAAATTCCTAAACATAATTTTGTGTTTTCAGATTTCTACCATGAAACATGTCTAATACAAAATCCATTCTTTACCGTGGTGGATATGGATTGTTGGCCGTGCAGTAGTGTGACTAGTGTTAGAGAAGTCTATGATCCAAAGCCTGTGAATCAACAAAATGGAGCACCATTTATTTATGAGGTAAATCAAGTTGAAAAATAAAACTAAACTTGTTCTTGACAATCATTTTCACAGTCACTACGTTTTAATAAAATTCTCAACAAAATGTATCAACCTAGGTTTTTTTATAGAAGTGCCCCTGGGGGCCTACTGCCGTTCTCTGTCTCACATTCGACGGAAACAATTGAGAGAGAATGGGAGTAGACTCAATGTTTCATATATAATATCAATTCAATATTAGCCTTTTACGAGGTTTGAAACTGTAGTGATACCAACATTTTGTACCAAATATATTGTACTAATATTATTTTATAAAAAAAATTTTGGGATTCTGCATGTTCAGATGACAAAATCCATGATTGAGAATCTTTTAGCTCCTTCAAGTTGTCTCAAACTATGATTTCAAACAAATATTGTAAATGTGCACCTACAAAATAATGTCTATTTTCAAACAGTTTACTACTAGAGTTTCTTCCCTATTCTTCTCAGGGGAATCTGCCTTAAGAATGAGCAGTTGTTTAATCAATGTGATCATTCCAAGCGTAATTTGCTTGCCCATAAAATGAGGTGTTACAAAAAATTTGAATCAAGATTGCCTGACAGGTACAACTGGAATCTCACACCAAACTTTTAAATTTTACATTTATTTAGGAATCAATTAACGAGTGTTATTTTTTCTTAATTTGAAATTTTGCCTCATGTGTCATTAAATAAACAAATTAAAATTCTTGTATAATATACTACATATTGCATAATAATAACATTAGGTTAATATCTTTACATTATATATAAAAATGTTCCTACATGGTTTTGCTTAGTTTCAACTCTCCCATTTCAGACTGATCAACAATTAATAACATTAGATAAGTTACAGAGTATTTATGTAAGAAATAAAGACTACTTTGATAAGGAATCTCCCAGCATTTTAGTAAACAATAAATATTACATTAATCCACAAGATATGTTTCTGTCAGAACAAATGAAGGATGAGAAAAACTTCTATATTTGGTAAATAAATAAAAATATTTTTGTAAAAATTACCTTTTGAACTTCTTAATTTCCATTATGCTTACTTTTCAGGAAATTTAACAACATGAATACTGCTAGATTATTACGTCAAGTAATTCCAAGGCCAAAAGTTGTTCCAAAGTTTGGTCAGAGCACTGAAAGGTTTATTATTGTTGATTCTAGTCAACAGTCCTTCCAAGTACCTGATACTGAGTGTAGTTATTCCTTTCTGCTCTCTCTGAGTGGTAGTAGAACAGTGGATTTGTTACCAGCAGAGGAATGTAAAAATCAATGCAAGACATTGAAAGTAGAATTGAAGGAAACTTTTTTATGTAAGTATCTTAAACCAGGAAATCTCTTACATTTAAATTTTCTATCTTTAATCATCTACTTAAAGAAGTGCCCATGGCTATTACCGTTTTTCTTTTGAACGTCCAAGGTTATTCTTTGGCAGAAGTAGTCCTTAGGATCACCCTTGTAATGAAGTATTAAATCTTACAAATCAGGGCCAGATTCAAAGTTTGGAACATTAGCATTTTTTTTAAATATTTCATTTAGTGTGCTCCCTCGGACATAGTGCGCACGTAGGCTTTTGCTTAGTGGTAACTCTAATAATTCCAATCCTGCTCATAATGTTAAATGTCTATACTAACCTATGGCCAATTTTTTATAGAGTATTTTTATTTCAGTATGGTACAACTGGTGGTACTGGAGACCTGTGATACAAACATCTGCAGGCAACACAACTTTTATTGCACACATTGGTTCCTATTGTTAGAAAACATGAAATAAGTACAAATTAGAGTAAATGGAATGTACAATACACCAATTTATTAACGAAAAATAAAAATCATTCTAAATAAATTAACTAAAAACAACAACAAACTGTTCAATCAAACTTTTCCCTTAGTTTTTTCTTCATTAATACTGGTACAAGAGATAAGAGTGCGAAAATAGTGAGGATTGTGACAGATGTCCATGACCATGCATCACTTGTTGATGCTAGTGTGTGCAATGTTTGGCCAGCTTGGATTGCTACGAAAGATGGAGGTGCTACACCTGGAAAAGAGAAATTCAGAATTGGCATAATGCAACTACTTGCATACCACTTAAATGTAGTGTTGAGAACTTAGGTTGAGATTTTTAAAATGAACTTTGTTTTGGGACTAAGCAAAAATGGCAAGCTAAGCAAATTTTTCATATTTACTAAACAAACTATGTATGTTTAAGCAAGAAACTAATTTACACTTAGAATATTCTTCATAATTTCTTGCTTAAAGTTTATTTTCTAACCACGAAAAACTTTCTGAGGTCGTCACTTTTGCTTATTCGAAGTTAGTCTGTTTTATAAATTTCAACCTAAGTGGGTTCTTCTATTAATGACATGGATTACAATCTTCTAATGATTGCGGAATCTTTATAAGTAAGAATATTTTACTCATTGACCTAGGTCAATGATTGTACTACAAAACTAATGCCACATCTCACCTATAAAAGTTCCAAGAGCAAAGGGTATCAAAGGCACACCAATCACAGGCGCAGACATGTTAATAAACCAGTTTGGTAAAAAGGGTGTCACCCTCAAGAAAATAATGTAGTTAAGCAGATTATTCTCATGCTTTTTCACTGCTTTCGACCACTTTTCTGCTCTCTCAGGGAAGAATCTTTTTACCAACTTTTTCCCAACGAGATTTGAGAGGAAAAAACACAAACTAGCACCAAGTGCCGAACAGCAGCAGACTAGGAGCAGTGCTAGATAGAATGGGAATAAAAACCCTGAAAGAATACTTAAGAAAATAGAGCCAGGTATTGCAAATGTTTGCAAACTGAATTATGAGTTACAGATTATTATAGATAGTCACAAAGTATTTTATTAGTTATTAAATATATAGGATTGTTGTCCTACAAACATACATCAATCATTATTAGATCAATTTTAAACATCACAGTGCAGCACCAACTCTGCATCATTTTCAAAGAGTTGATGGCTAAATTACTTGCATATTGTTTTATGACATCTGCGACAAGACAGCACATAATTTACTATACTGACATATATTTGCATATTGTATGTCATTTTGTAAGTGAAAAGGATACAAGATATAAACTAAGAAGACTGCAAATAATACTTGATAGAAATATTTGTCCTTATATCTGTCTAAGACCTGACCTAATTGCTTAGCATCTTCTAGGTCCCATGGAAGCTTGATATGCTGTTTCTCATGCCTAAAAAAAATAAAAAAAATGTAATACCAATTTGTTATTAATAGAGTTAGCAATACTGCACTCCTTATCATAACAAATCTAATGAACATTTTTTATGAAATTGTTATCAACATATTATCTGGAATCAGCGAAACGAGATCTAAAACTCCCTTTGTGCAGTTTTTTTATATCTTACTTAGTGTCAGTTTTATTGTTAAGAAAAATCAGTGTAATTGAAATTTTTCTAAGAAACTAAGTGCCAATTTCTCAAACAAAATGCATTAGTAATGAATGATGTGACTAATGGTCAGAAAAAGGTATTCCACATATATAGATACCTGTATAGATATAGCTACAAGGAGCGACATAGAGTTGCTAAAACCACCAAATATTAATTCATTACTATTTCGAATTCTGGTTTTCCAGAAATGGTTTTACTGCATCGTCGAAGTTGGATTTTAAAGTAATTCTAAAGGTGCCATCTAAAAATGCAGTAGATAACTGACTGTTTACCAAAACAGCCAGTGGTACATACAATAACTCTAGAGAATAATGTAGACTTCAAATCTGTACGTGCCACAACATGCAAAAAAACAAAAAGAAAATTTAAGCAATAACAGGGGGCATAAATGGAATATAAACAAAAAAATTATTCCAATTAATATTTAGTAAAGAAAAATAAACATTATGAGTTATGCCCAGATAGATTCCTTCGTATTTTAGATTTAAAAACATGGAACAAATCGATGAACACATCTATTGTTTGATCAAGCGCGTTAAAGCTTCTTGACTATCTAGCGATAGCGGAGTGATATTTAAGGTTGGTCCTAGACGGCGGCGGATGGAGTAGTTCGACCGAGTGACAGGGCACCTGGCTTGGAACGCAGATTTTAAATAATTGGCAAACAGGAGGGCAATCTATTCAGTTTCACAAGATTTTATACATGAAAACCAGGTCTAACATAAGTCTGTGGTCAGTTAAACTCTCCATTTTGTAACACCCTAGTTTATCCAAATAGGTTGGGAGTCCATTACGCTTTCTACATGCCTTACCTATGTATGGCTATTTATCTTCATAAATAGAATAAAGATAGGAGTTTTTTCATGTGGAGATCCAGAACAAGTTATTAATTAATAATAGGTGGTTTTAATAACTTTATGTTGCTTCTTGTAGCTATATCTATACAATATGTATATTACTATATAAGTGGAACACCTTTTTCTGACCATTGGTTATGACAAAAAAGGGCAGAATAGAAATATGTACTTACTCCGCTATATCTGGAAATTGTTTATAAAGGAGTCCTAAGGCTATCAGTGAACAAATAAAAATAATAAATACTAAAATTAAGGCTCTAGAGGTAGATATATCACTTGTGTCTCTGTCAAAGTTTTTAAAACTATCAGATTTTGTGTCCACATCTGAAATATAAAAATAACCATATCACTACTAGCCTATTGGAAATCTGTAACAACTATTATAGAAATTCTTAGTATGTAATTAAAGCTGGAAAATAAGATGGGATCAAGGGAATACAACAAGGAAGTTTTGGAAGTACTTGGAATAGGATAGAATAATCCAATACAGTCCGCTCTCCAATTTCGTATTCTCGGCTTGGTGACAGGAAAGTAAGGATCTAAGGTCGTAGTGGAGACAGAGGGATCTTGAATGTAACCTGTGTTCTTCCGCTGCCCATGGTGCATTCCTCTACGTTCACTAATATTCATGTTCAGCGTCTGGAGGAAGTCACAACTTTCAGAAAGAAATACTTTACGAAATACAAAAATAAATAAGCTCTCGTGTTTCTGTTACACGATTTTAAATATATAAATTTCAAATCGTTTTCTTTTAAAATAAAGCTAGAGCACAAAAATGACAAAAATCAAATCGTATGACAATGACAAAAAAGAAATTTCATGTGTTTGACATGCATGTCAACATAGTCTAAGGTGTATACTTATTTGTCCTAGTCAGTAGCCCACTACCCAGAAAAATAAATCTATCTCATATATGAGAAATAAGTGTTTCTCGTTCTGGCAAACGAAATGTACTTGCAAAAACGGTTTACACAAAACGAAAGCGATCGTACGATGTATCGTACCGTCTCGTTCTATCCAAACGAAAATCAAGAAGTATCTCAAATACACTTTGTTAATTGAATTTGTACATTTTATTTCACATTGTACGTACAATTGTTTTACATCATCAAAGGAAAAATCTGCAAATAAAACTTTTCATAAACCCTCCGAGAACAATTAATTCCTGAGTTGGATAGAGTTAATTAAACCGTTCAGGCATATATAACGGAACGTCATGTCCCGCCTTCACAAGCGCGGCAAAAGTTTGAAAAGGGTATACAATACATAGAACTGGCATAAACTTGCATAATCAATAATCAATTAAATAAAAACGGAGAATCAGGCGATATTATATAATTTAAACAGAAGCGTTTCTTAGTACACTAGTTAATTTAAAAAAATAATGAACAGGTACTAAGAAGCCGCACCGCCCGCGTCTTCGCCCCGAACTCCGCCTTCGTCCGCCCACCGCTAACGCGCCGCCGGTCAAGTCAGATAGTCCCACTCCCCAGACCGGGTTCAACCGCATCCGAGACGCACTAATTTGATGTACAACTGTGCTTACGCTTCACCAAAACACTTCCACCAAAATAAAACTTCTGAGAATATCTCAATAGTGTTAGATTTTATTTTGTAAATTGATTTAAAATTAGTGAAACATTACATAAAGTGTACGTGGAACAAACAAGTGAAACTTGTGAAAGTGAACTTTCTATTAAAGAGCGTTACTGCGATGAGGTCCTTCGTGAGCACTTACACCATACATGAATCCAAGTAAAAAGGTAAGATTATTTTTTTCTCTACTTTATTTACCCATGCTTTAGGAAAAATGCAAAGTTCTTACATATAAGTAATGTACAGAAAATCGAACATTGATAAATGGTCAAATTCCCGAACAAACATTAACAAAAAACAAAACTTTGACTTTACATTACAGAGTTATTAAAAGTTTCTCGTCGTTGTAGAATTTTAAGACCAATGTTATTTAAATATAATAACGCAGATTTAAAAAACGTAAGAAAAGTTACTTTTTTCAAATTTTTATACTTACTGCCTGTTAAAAAATATCTTAGTTCGCCGTTGTTAAAAAACTTCCTTCTTTTTAGGAATGTCGTGCATTTTTGGAACCAATTATAATATAATATGTAAACTATTATCTCGATGCATCCGTAGAACAAAGACCTATGTGAAAGACTGCTTATTCTCAGGACATTGTACATTTCGTTCGCTGTTCTTAGCTGTGGATCGACCGTTGATCGATTTTATATTTCCCAAACGAAATAATACATAAAATTCTGAAAACACCTACAGCTAGGCATTATTTTGAATAACGAGGTTACGTATTTATCTTCTTTTCGTTGTATAATCACATCGGACTCTGTTCTTTGGATGAGTCGATCGACTGATAAACAAAATGTTACCTGTCTCACTGCGCTTGTTCTTTTTCAGAGATAGATCGAAGATTCGAGACTATAATTTATTTACATTATGCACTCTTCCAGTTCGTGTGCTTATTGTTGTTTATCACCCTACGTATTGTTACCACAGGTAATGGTAGGTGAGATACCAAAGCTGTGTTTGCTGGTTGCAACACTGGCTGTAGGCTCGGCGGCAGGGGCGTGCGAGCGCGGGCGCACCTGGTGGGACCGGGAGCGAGGAGTCTGTGTCAACTGCACGCGATGCGAGCCCTTGCGCCTGGCCGTCAAAGTGCCCTGCGAACTCCACAGGGACACCATCTGCCAACCTCTCCATGAAATAAACATCTTCGACATCTCTACCACAGACAATGAACCTAGTGACAAGTTTAGTGAAATCGAATACTACGAAGATTACACGAACTACTACGGTGAAGTGAGTGAGGACGAAAGTGAGAAGTGGAACTTGCAGACGACGACATTGTCCCTAGCGATATGCGGTTGTGTTTTGTTCTTTGTGGTGGTGCTGTACTCGATGTTTCATCATTCAAAGCAATGGAAGGTGCTGAAGCAGGCTTTGAAAACTGGTACGTTGTTATAATAATTCTACAGCTTCTGTGGCCGAACGATTACCACGCTGGTCTGCCACGCAGAGGTCCCGGGTTCGATTCCCGGGCCGGGAGAAATATTTGTATGGCCTACATTTATTTCTCTCGTGAGTTTGGGTGTAATTTGTGGTTGTCTATATCCATGGCACCCGCGACATAGCGTATCCCTACTGCGGGGTATGAGTGTGTGCGCAAAAAAAAAAATTATGTGCCTGCTAATGTGAAGGGTCATTTTATTTATAGCTAATGGACATATTGGACTGTTAATACAATGGTGTATTAACTCGAAAAGAGTATTTTTTTCAGAATCGATGAAAAACTAATTGCGCACTTCCCGTGAAAGATTATTTATGTAGGTTAAACTTTATTACAGACATCTACACTAATTTTCGATATAAATATATTTAAAAAAAAGGGATAAAACAATTTTTGCTCTGAACTAGCTCACAAAAAGTTTCTCTCATTTTGAGTTGAGTAGATATCTTTTAATTGTTTCGTCATTGGAAGTATTGTAATTCTTCCAATGACGATTCAAATTTTCATTCAGCAATAATAGCATAATCTTGATTGTGACATATTTTGAGTTACAATACTATTGTAATAGCTGTCCGATATATACTGTGAGAGCGTCCCCGTAGTTATAGCGTAGTGAGAGGTACTGCTTAATGATAAACGAGGAATATATTCATAATTAAAGATTTACTGTGAGCGTTCAGTTTGAAGATTTGTCCAGAACTCTCCCGATGTTCATTTGACAACCACCTTCTTATTTTTATACAGTTCCAAATACAAAATAATAATTAATAATCTATACAGCCGGCTACAACACCTACTTACCATACTGAGCTATAGAACGGGCTGTGTTGGGTATTTTTCTATGATTCAGGAACACAGACTCGCAGAAAAAAGATTTTTTTATCGATATAGGCAAGGTGTTAGCAAGCGGAAAGTGGGCAGGCCATTATATGCCGTAAACAAGACACAGATGAGTTGGAATGGTGCTGGAGTGGAGACCGACCGAGAGACAGAGAAGGGCACAGAAGCGTGTAAGCAGGCAACCAATGCAATGGACATATGACCTTGTCAAAGTGGCCGGTGAAAATGGGATGAGGAAGGCACAATACCAGCGTGCATTGGAAGAGACCTACTTATATACAGCATTGGTTGTATAGAGGTTCAACGCTATACGGTCTTCTAAACTACAAATTACATATTTGTAATAGAAAACAAACAAAACAAATATACCTATCCATTTCCCTCCCTTTCGTGACTAACAGACGTAATAATAAATTTGGCTTTTTTTTAATGCATTATATTTTCGACTTTGAACTTAGCATGTTGAGCCGTTCCTCGTGTCAATTTTGTCTATCAATGTGTTATATTCATACCGATAGCATTCTAGAACAGAGGCCTGTCTCAAAAATACTCGATACGTCAAAAAAGGGTTAAAAGAAATTAAGGCGTACACGTAAACTCGACGAATCCCCTACCGACCCTGTGTATGTGATTATTTTGACCTATAAAAATCACGGTATCTTATTAACAATAAAAAGTAGCAGTTTTTGAATACATCTGTGTAATAAGTAAAAAAATCGCCTATTTCCATTTGAAAATTAACGATAGTATATGAGAAGTACTAACCACGATTCTGGCGAACGTTCGTGTTTTTGTTCATTACGACAAAAATATCAGTTACGGTAGAGGGGCGATCTTTAATAAACAAATAACCCACTGGACTCCATAAACAGCATTATTCAAACATTGATACACGTCTCAACAAAAAATTCGAGTATCAGTGTCCTTCGTCGTTGGCGATTTATTTATTCAGGACGGCGATCAACTCACGCGACCTCCATGCTCTATATTTATTATCCAAAGTTACGACGTTACGAGAATTTTAAATACTCGAGTATGTAATAAAGATTTTTAAAAATATTTCCAAAGACACGTACAATAATTGCCACTTCAAAACTTGCTTTTAAATACGCTAATTTTATCGCTATGAATAGCGTCAGCATCATCAACAGCCTAGCGTAGTCCACTACTGGATATATCCAGGCGTTTCCCAATGCGCGCCATTTCGCCCGGTCCTCAGGTCGTTGCATCCATCTGCTACCGCCCTTCGCAAATCATCACTCCATCTGGCCAGAGGGCGTCCTACGTTTGCTCTGTTTGTCTCCACTCAAGAACTCGCTTCCCCCATCGGTTATCGGTTCTTCGACAGATATGGCAAGCCCACTGCCACTTCAGCTTGCTTTTTCTACCAAGCATGTCGACGACCTTAGTTCTCTGTCGGATAACCTCGTTCCGTACCTTGTCCTTCAAAGAAACTCCGAGCATTGGATTTCTTCTCTTTCTTCAACTGGATTGGACACTAACCGTATCGTGAGTGTCCACGTCTCAACTCCGTATGTCATAAGTATGAATATACGCAACTATAATTGTATATATTGGTGATTATGTCAGCATCTTTCTTAAGAAGATTCGTTACTTTCGTATTTACCTATAAGTTTTCCAAATTTTCCATAGATTTACTGTTTACACCATGTATGTACCTATGGTTTATACACATATTCACATAACTATAGAGTTAGTAATGATGATCTATCGAGTGAGATATCTCAGTGCCTTACTAAATATAAATTTTTTAACAAAAACGACGACGATATACGTAATGCAGACTATGTTTTTGATACGGAAACTAATGAAAGCTTTCAACACTAGTCACATTGAAGGTGTAAAATAAATGGGAACTTCATTATAAAACAAAACAAAAAACAAGCTAATTAATTAAATAATTATATCCGAAGTTATACTTGAATATCACCCAGTATGAGCAAAAAGAAAGCATATGTATAGTGAGATGAATATAAAACAGAGCCGATGTAAAAACATAACTTCGCGGCCTTAAGCCCGACTTAGCGGCGGCGCTGTCGGCGGCGAGAGACCACGTAAACAATGGCTGGTTTGTTTTAACATGTGCGCTACTAATTTTGACTGGTAGCGGACCGCACGCGCAACAAAACCAACAATAGTTAACGGTTATTTCGTTGCATTCGCCTTTTCCCAAACTAGAACCATTCATCCGTGCCTTTCCATACGTTACCTATATTCTGTTGCTGTATAAGTACTTATGTAGAATTCGGTTCATCACCTTTGAAATTTTAAGATAATAATTCCTTTGAAAAACGAATCTACAAGTGAGTTGTCTCGAACTAAAGTCATGCCAAAAAAAATTATTAGAAATTTTTAGTTAGTACTTTCTCCATTCTGACAACATGGTCCTGTTGCAGATGTTCAAGACTTGTCAGCGAAGCTAAAACTCATGGAGGCGGGCGAGACCCCGGCAGAGCCAGTGGTGCCCGCAGACCACCACATCTACTGCAACATTCACGTCGGTAAGGATTCAATGTTTTAGTCTCCATTATAATCTTCCAGCGCAGTTATAAATTTAGATTGTTAATCTAAATTCTTCGCCAATTAAAACTGCTTCTGTACCTACACATACACTGCCTTTAAAACAGATAATTTCTTATAATCGCCATGCTTAGCAGACGGATTGTTAATCGCGGCGTAACTGTAATCTTACACAGGAAATTAATGCTGCATAAACCGTTATCTCTTTACGAGATACAGAGAGTTAAAGAGTGGACGTCTGCCATACCATATACACCAATTCAAGGAATTGTAAAGCAAGACATTTCATTTTATAAATCGACTACCGGAGCACTTTCGCGAGACTTTTGCAGGTAGGTATACCGGATGAAATAACAATTTTTTTAAAGATATTACTTCACGTCTGTATACTGTTTACGTGTTCGTAATTTACTATTGGATGAAAGTGAGATCAACTTTTATAACCCAGATGCAAAATATTTGTATCTTTCAACAACAAGATTCATAACGCTGCACGTGTTTCAAGCAGGAAACAAGCTTCCTATTAGGAGTACATTGAAGATTAATGTAAACGTAAAAAGAGTACTTAGGCACCTACCAAAATACTGTAACAATATCTTTGGATAAGTTTGTCCACTAAGCTATGTGCATACGAATGGTGCACCGCGTGCCTAACCTTCACGAAAGCCGTCCAAAAAAGGAATGTTTACACAACCATAACTCATATTGACGTTTCGGGCGTGCGAGACTCGATCCCGAGGATCTTCGCTGGCATGACGCCAGTGGAGTTTAAAATACTGTCTCGCGTGGGACGTTGCGCCGTCTGTGTCTGGCACTGAGTGGCCAAGAAACACCTTTGGCGCCCGCCCGCTTCTTATTTTGAATCTTTGTCAGATAAGTAGTACGTGTTACATTTGCATGATTTACGTATTTATATAAAAAAAAACACAAAAACAGTCTCGTCGTTAAATGTTATGTTGTTATTTTAAATATCTCAGTACAGAGTACTAAAAAAACCGACCTCAAAAGTACGTGGAATTACATATAATTACCAAGTTTTATTGAAATCGGTTCCCGGAACGTGCGCAAACCCGGATTCATCCCCTAGTTTGCCACTATACGGGATTTGACACAGGAGATAATAAAAATTAGGTCTCACTACTCAAAGTATATTGACAGAGAAAAACGCCTTGAATTGGAGAATAACAAAATCATCAACTATTAAAATAATTGCTCCTTATAATAAAATTTAGGCGCTATTTATAAAAATTAATCTTCATGCGTGAACAGCCACCCTTAGAGGAGGATGATTTTCTTCAAAATTAAATGGGACCACTATGGAGATACCCTCTTTCCAACAAAAAAAGAATCATGAAAATCGGTTCACAAATACCGGAGTTATCGCGTAACACACATACAAAAAAAATACAGTCGAATTGAGAACCTCCTATTTATGAAGTCGGTTAAAAAGCACGCCGTCGAAAGTTCGTGAAATTACATTTATTTGCCAACTTTTATTGCAATGGGTTACCTACCGTCTTTCCAACAAAAAAGAACCATCAAAAACAGGTTATCGCGTAACATACAAATAAAAAAATGCAGTCGAATTGGGAACCTCCTCCTTTTTTGAAGACGGTTAAAAATTTTACTTTCTTGTGGTCTTACAAAACACTGTTCAATTCGTTATAAACTTAAAACTTCCCAGGTGTTCCATGGACACCGTTATCAATCCTTATGCATGAGTTAATCAAGAAAGTGTTACACAGATGGGCCGCTCGTTCGCAATGTAAGCGCAGCATGCCATCACGCGTGCGCTATGCGATAGCGATTAAATTTTAATAGTCTGTCAAAACTACAATTGATTCCCTAGATGGTCGTGGCTGGGCGTTAATACAATGTCGCAATGTGTAGCCTCACAGGTGAAGCACCTTACTTTCGCATTCCACACCTACCTGTATACCTACTAATATGCAATACATTAACAACAAAACACAAAACTTATTTAGATGCGGTTACTTTCATATAATTATTATAATAAGAATAATGATATGTAATTTTAGTAGCAAGCTCCTTGTGAAAGAGTTCGTCCAGGTTAGTACTGCCAACTTACCTATTTCTGCCGCCAAGCAGTAATGTCAGCATTACTGTGCTCTGGTTTTAAAGGGTAAGGGTGCTGGTGAAATTACAGGTGCGTGGGACTTGTTGACTTATGTCTCAGGGTGACGGGGGCAGTGGTAGCGCCTCTCAAGCTCTGAGTGGCACTGTAACTGTTATGGACAGGGGTGTAGCGTGCCATCACGCACACGACTTGTTCGTCCAGTCACTTGATGTTATAAAAAAAGAAGCTTTATTTATCTACATTGAAATAACAACAATTTAGCCTTATATAATATATACAATGTGTTGAGTCACGTACTGTACAAACTTTAAGGGGGTGTTCAGTATTGAATATTATGTGGAAAACACTAGTCCATGTGGGGTCAAAACTCAACTCCCTAGGAATGGCAGCCATTTAGATTTTTTTATACTTAGTTTTCTAGATGAATGTTCTAAAATTATCATATTACGAGAAGTAAAAGCAGTACGAACGTATTTTTTCGAAAAGCTATGATTAGCGGCTATTGAATAAAATATCTGTGAGGTATGTAAGAAAGTGGGAAATATTCTAAAAAAATAATCAAAATATTAATACAAAGATCGAACACTCAGAAAAAATTTGTTCGATCCGGCCGGATTCGAACCGACGGCTTCTAGCTTACCGTGCCAGAAGCTATACCAACTAAGCAACGGAACGAACCAGCGGACCTCACGAATTTTTCTATGTGCTTGCGTTGTGTCTTTTTGTATTTGGTTTTTCAACGACTTTTTAGTCGTAGCGCCATCTATGAGAAATCTATGAGAGATTTATCACCCAGTTAGCACCTTTACAGCTACCAGTCCTGGCGAGAGATGTCGCTATTCGCTGTATTTTAAATTTTTATTGAATTGATATTCAATTATTTTTTGTGAAATTACCCCACTAGTTTGTTATAATTATTAATACAAAGATTGAATACTCAGAAAAATACCTTCGATCCGGCCGTATTCGAACCGACGTCTTCTAGCTTACCGTGCCAGCCGGATAGAAGGAATTTTTTCTAATGTTGAGTGTGTGCGTTACATTAACTGCCACCGTGGTCGAACGATTATCATGCAGAAATGCCACTCAGAGGTCCCAGGTTCGATTCCCGGGCCGGGAGAAATATTTGTATGGCCTACATTTATTTCTCTTGTGAGTTTGGGTGTAATTTGTGGTTGTCTATGTATGTGTCCATGGCACCCGCGACTCAGGGTTTCCCTAGTGCAGGGCTATGTTGAGTGTGTGCGTTAATATTATTACTAGTTTAATGTTGCCGCCATTTTCTTTTTTTTAAGTAAGCGGTACAGGTAGGTATTTTTAATTCTCGCAACTATAAAAAACTGAGCAGTTGGCTGTATGAGATTTTCTTTTGCCTATTTACTAGATTTAAAAGTTTAGAGAAGTGGACTGTAATGAATTTTCATACATACTCGATGTCGCACGGTCCTTAAATGACAATCCGTGTTCGTTTTTTGAAAGTAATGCAAACATTTACGAGCATGTTTGAGAAAAATAAACAAACAATAGATATTAAACAACAGCTATTATTAAAATAATAATAACAATATTATGATAAAAAAGGAACAACACCAGATTGATACATAGGTACGGTCAGGTAGTCGACCCTGGCACCGTCTCCTAGGCACGTGGTTTCATTAGGGTGTCATTTGCAGGCGCATCAGGCCTCGCTTCCGCTCCACAGGGCTTCACTTGCGCCGCCCGGGAAGCCTCTCACTTCCTGTTCACACTAATTTTCGAGTAAAAAATATCTCTATCTATTAATTAATTCGGTTATTAATCTTGTTATTACCTGACAACTTAATGTTAATGGAGCCAAAAGGTCTGAAAATTACGTAATATATTTAAAACAAACACCGTATTTATAAAAACCATATTAATAATATGTTAAGTTTATGAGTTGCAAGCAACGCCTTTTGCCTTTTGTAAAAAAACCGATAAGAATCGACTCAAAATAAATGCACATGTCGAACAAGGCTTGAGCATTGAACTCTATTGGAAACTTATTATTCTGAAAGTGCACGCACGCCGTGGGATAAGGGATCGGCGGTGGTCTCTGGTTCTGTAAAGGTAGCTCATTTCGGTGTACTGTCACGTTTCCATCTCCCAAGGGACTGCGATATCATTATATTTCTCGCTACTTATTTGCATCTACTGTTTACGAATAAGTATAGATTTATGCATGAGATTTTTATCCTTATGTACCAAGTTTATTCGCATAAACTGGTACCTATTCGATAGAGTTAGGAGTCATTTGAAATGTGGTGCCAGCGGCGAATGGAAAAATTAAAATGAATTGAGAAGATATCAAATTAAGAAATTTTGAAAATAGAGAAGATACAAATCTTTTAAATGCAATGGAGAACAGAAGGGGGAAAATGTTTATACATTAGTTACGTAATGACGACTAAGGTATAGTACTTCCATGGGCGAACTCTTCCACAAGGAACTCTACTGCTATCTACCTATTATCTAACCATACCATAGATATTTACCTTTTACACTATGTAATGTAAAGTCTGTAGACATCGTGTAGTACGAAAATGTGCAATGGAGACAAACTTTTACGACTACTGTTGTTATGTGAAACCAAATAAGAAACAAAAGACAATCTAGTCACGTTGCGTCGTGATACTCGTGATCACGGCGTAACCAATGATTCTTACAACCTTACTATAAAAGGGTCGTCTTCTTGACGAGAGATCATCAACAGTCGGTTGACATACTCGACTAATTGTGAGTTGTACAATACAACAACGGAGGATAGAATTGTTTATTCGTTGAATACATCACACAAAGTAACTTGAAATTCCTGTAATATTCATCAAGTTAATCTACCATGCTTATGGCGTTTGTACAAGTACA